GCATTTTTTAACACATTTTTTAGTGGTGTCTACCAGATAAGATTCTTTTGGAATGCAGGCAGGATTTGCATAAGAGTATGTCATTCCAAGGTACAGCCTGAGCAGCTAAGTATTGTTCCTTTAGGAAAAAGAAAAATTGTGAAGTCTTAGGAATAAAAATAGGATAAGTTTTAGAAGTCTTGAATTACTGCATTTATATGAAATATAAAATCAACATTAGCACTGAGATAAGGTGTAGGGAAGAGAACATGGCCAAGGTCAATGGAACAAATGATTTTGGCTGTTAGTTCAGGGTTCAATGTGAAGTGTGTACAGGTGTTACTCTGCTCTGGTGTACAGTCTATCGATTGGGACTTAAGGGGCAAGTGAGTGCTCCTGGTCTTTTGGTGATCTTTTAAAATATCCTCCTTGATCTCTTTCATTTTTCCACACTGCAAAATGCTCATCTGTCAAGGTTGCTTGAGCAACCTCTTCCAGTGTTGACCACTCTCAATGAGAAAAGAGAAATATTTAGTCTTATATTTAAATTTAATTTCTTCTAATCCAAATTGTGTGCATTGTGTCTGGTTTATTTGCTGGATTACCTTGGGAAGAGTCTGCCTCCCTCTATTTTAACCTGTCCCACCAGGCATTTAATTTTATTTGAATTATTTGGCTATTTAAAAAACATTGTCTCCAAAGATGATGATGGTATCAATAAGATGAAGAAATTAAGAGGAATGTTATGGCTGTAAATTGTACCAATAATCTTTCGATCAATAATCTATTCATTCAATAGATGAATGAATCTAACATTCAGATTGTGACAGTTTACTTTTTATCCTATATTTGAGTTATTCCATTGGTCTTATTTTGTCCAGTCAAAAATGTGCATCTCATTCATTAATCCTAGAGCAAATGAATTTTTTATTCTCTTGAGAAATGTGATTTAACTATTTTGTTCAAATCCTGGCTTTGGTCTTATCATTCCTGTCTTTTGCTGTCATCCCTGCCTCCTCTCTGACCAATATGCACACTCAAATATATTTACAGATCATATACCTTTTGTCATCTTTTTTTTATCACTATGGTCCATCAAAATTTTCTACTGAAGTTGATTTTTCAGGGAAAAAATGTGATTTGAGAAAATGGAAACATTTATTGTAAAGGTTTGATTCTGTTGAAGCAAACAGGAGCTGCACTGGCTGTTTTGTTGGCTTGGACCTGAACAGCTGCCAAGAAACCAGCTGATGTGATCTGTAGGGTGGGAATGTCATGATTGAGTGAGCTGTCGACCTGCTCTGTCTACAGGAAGAAATTTCTTATTTTTCTGGAATTCCCTACTGAGCAGGAACTCTCAAGTTCAATAAACAAATTACTTTCCTATACTTTAATTTGCATAAAGTAATAGTTATAGGAAATTTTGGTTTAAAAACCACAAGGTCTTTCAAGGTTCCCATAACTTCTTAGAGAATGTTACTCATATGATGTAATATATCTGATATGGCCAAGGTTAATTTACTGAGTAAATGCTTTTCTATCTCACACTGTAATTGAAGGTGTTGGTTTTGATACCTGATATCAGAAATTTAAAATACGAATGTGTTGGAGGCCTTGTATTTTCATGGTGCTTATCTACCTACCTGTTTTGTTATCTCCATGAAAAAACTGCTTCTTCTCCTTCTCTCTCCTCTAGACTGAGTACAGTTTTTAAGATCTTTAATTTGGGCCAGATTCTTCACACTTTTCTTGCACTAATTTCACAAAGACTCTCAATTTTATATTTTTTGTTTCCTTTTTAAAAAATATATTATTTTACTTTGCGGTCCTGCTTGGTGTGCTATCTTATAAACAAATATCTTCTATGCTTAATTCAGGTAAAGATCAGCAGTGTTTGTGAACTAGCATACTTTAAACTCTGTATCTTATGTGTTGTGTCTTCCAGAAAGCCTCAGCTTTAGCATATACCTTAATTTATATTTAGTATATAAGCAATTTATGAAGGTAATATAAAATTTATAAAAGGATTCCTTCTTTTCTCTCAAAATTTTTATGCTGCATAGGAATGTTTGCACTCGTATAGTTCCTACAATCCATTCCTGTAATAGCTTTCCAAATAAATGTCTATCTTCACATGCTTAGGAGGTTGGGTTTTGCCCTGTATGTGTGTAACTTTTTTTAAATTCCAGTTCTGTATTTCTTCTACTGACTTTGGTCTCAACTTGTTTTTCTCTGCATTCAGCTGATCATCACTTATTTTTAAAGCATTTTTCACCAGTGCTAGGAGCTTCTTAATCTCAGAAATACCCCTTAGCAAATCTTAGTTAAATCCAGTTTTGTGGCTGATAAAGCAGTTGTCCTGACCTTCTTGTCTTTTTCTCTGTGAATATTCTTGTGTACAGGATCTCTGTGTCACTTAAAAGATTGCTCCTCACAGAAGCACTCTTTTATCTGAACTTGGAATCATTTAAGCAGAACTGTGAGGAGGACTTTGCTATTGTCAGCTGTCTGAGAAATCATTTCAAAGTTCATGCAGCTCTTCAGGTCACCTTTCTTTTTTTAAAGTGTCTTTCCTCAGTGTCAGAATTTTTTTCTTTCCAATAGTGTTGTGCAGCTCCCTAATTAGCTCTCTCTTTATGCCATAGTCAGTTATCAGCATTTAATAATAAATAAATAATTCACAATTTTAGTGATGTTGATTTGACTTTGGACATCTATGTGGTATTGTAAGGAATAAACCATATAGGATCCTTTCAAGAAGAATATTTGTTCAAGCCATTCCTTTTGGGTCAGTGCACATTCTTCTTCAGTTTTTGTGGGTCTTTACCAAGCTCTTTGAAATGTTTTATCTCCTAGGAAAATAATGGGTTCAGATACATATCTCTCTAATCCTACTACAAATTCCTTCTGTGAACATCTTTTGTTCAAACACCACCAGTAGCACAGAGTATCCCTGCATAGGAATAATTTAAATTCCAAATTGAGAAATGTTCACCTGCCTCAAATGAAATAAGTAGTTGAAGATTTTACCGAAGTTTCAAGTGTACTCTTGAAGAGATATTGGACAGTTTGGTCAGTCATTTGCTGACCAATCTCACTGGGTAATGAGGAGTCTTTTCTTACCGTTCTGGACTCTGTTCCTCACCATCAACCACAGGTGTATGGGCAGTACTCTAACCCTCTAAAGCCTTTGTTTTATTAGACTGAAAAGACTTGTCATTCACCTGTATTTGCAATACCTGCTCATTCATAAAGAGTCAAGAGTTCATCTTTCTTGATGTCTACGATGATAATAACCTGAAATTTACATATCTATGTTTACAAATCTATCAAGTCCTTTTGCAATGTCTGAAATTTCTGCATGATCGATGCAGAAACTTCTTTGGTAGTTTCCATATCTTCCAGACTCTTTTTCTGTGTATTTCATGCCAAGTCAAACTTTGCCAAATGTGCCAAACCTGCAGCTTCTTTTTTTTAGAATTTAAACCTGGTTAGGCTGAGTTTAGGGTATCAGAGCCCCAGAGTATCAGAGTATCAGTTGCAGAATTCTGATGACAACTGCCAGCTGTACAGCATAAAATGGGATGCAGAGTATATGGGGTGGTTATGTCCTAGCATAACTTCAGCAAAGACTGAGTATCAATCTCAGAACCAAGGGAAGTTTTTTCCATGCAGTATAAACTGTCCTTGAACAAGTCTGGGAAGCCAACAATCTGGAATTTGTTCTGTGACTTTGCATACCTTGGCTTGCAAATCCAGATGAAGCAAAATTCTGTAGGATTTGCTTTCAGTCAATATTTAAGTAAATCACTCATTACTTAGCAGAACAGATGGCTCTGCTGTTTGAGGTGTGTGGTTTGTGATGGCTGGAATATCTGTTTTGCATTCCTTAAAAAGAACTCAAAGTACTCCCCTATGGGACTTGATTTTAGTAAATGTGCTCAAGAGGAGACAGCCTCATCCTGGGTCATATCAAAAGCAACTCGACCAGCAGATTGAGGGAGGTGATTCTGCCCCTCTGCTCTGCTCTCATGGAGCCTTGTGTCCAGCTCTGGGACACCCAGCATATGAAGCACTGTTGGAGCAAGTCCTTAGGAAGGGCCACTGAGGTGATCAGATGTCTGAAGCACCTCTCCAAGAGGACAGGCTGGAAGAGTTGGGGTTGTTCAGCCTGGAGAAGGCTGTGGTGGCACCTTATAACACCTTCCTGTACCTAAAGGGGCTCCAAGGGAGCTGGAGGATGATGTTTTACATGGGCATGAAGTTCTAGGACAAGGGGAGTTGGCTTTAATCTACGTGAGGGTGTGGGGCCCTGGCACAGGGTACCAAGAGAAGTGGTGGCTGCCCCATCTGTGGAAGTGTCCAAGGTGAGGTTGGACAGCCTGGGAGAGTGGAAGATTGCTTGGAGCACCAGGGATAGTGGAAGGTGCCCTGCCCATGGTAGTGGGGGTGGAAGATGATCTTTCAGGCACCTTCTAACCCAGATTATTCTATATACACATTGTCCCTTTTCTTTGGGTTCTGGTGACTAGATTTTCTCAGAACTTAAATTACTTTGCTCATAGGAGAGAATGTGATCTCTTATGCACGTGCTGAATGAAATCCCCATAGACTGAGTGTGTGGAAAATCACATTTTAATTCTGTGAACTCTTTCTTAAGAAAACAATATCCTTTCTGTTTGGCTTTTTTTAAAATAGAATGCTGCAGTATGGATTATAGGAGCCATGTAATTAAAGGTTTTCTGGTTGAAATAATCTCTTTGAGATTCATTTTGGTGTCATTTTCATGGCTAGGTTTATTTTTCAGAGAAATAGACTCCTTATCATTGTTGGTGTAGTTTAAGTATCATTGCCTGGGATTAGCGTCTGATATTGAACTGGTTAATGTAAGATTAAGTGTGAAGATTTAAGTCAGATTGCTCAGTTATGAAATATTGCTCAGCAGAGGAGTATGCAGTTCAAATATTATCTTTCTGTAATCCATTATTTGTTTTCTCCTCTCTCCCTTCCCATTTTTACAGGAAGACATCTACATGTATGGAGGCAAAATTGAAACAAATTATGGCAATGTCACTGATGAACTGTGGGTTTTCAACATACCCAGTCAAACATGGAGTACCAGAATTCCTGCAGTCCTTGTCCATGGACAGCAATATGCTGTGGAAGGTCATTCAGCACACATAGTAGAGCTGGACAGCAGAGATGTGGTTATGATTGTAATTTTTGGATATTCTTCCATATATGGTTACACAAGCATTGTGCAAGAATACTACATCAGTAAGTCACTTTCAAATCATTTTGATCATGTACTGATACAAAAAGTGCTGTTTTATTTAAAGTGAAAAAAAGTGATTTTTCTTTATTCAGATAGAAAAAAATGTGTATTTTCCAAAATAAATAAAGCCTCACCTTTTATTCCTTCAAATTATGTACATAAGAGTTCTTGACAAGTAATTGTGTTTCATGTGAATTTGGAGCACAGTGACTTTTTCCATTTCTGTACATGGTTGTGGTACCCTAAAGGGGATAAAAATTGAAACCAGAAATTCCTTACTGTGGTAATTGTGATGAAACACAGTTCTTAACACAGACTTGCTGGTTTTACCACAGAGTAGAAGAGCAAAGCCAACAATAATTTAGTTATTTTAAAGATTCTTTAATGTTGGTGCATTATTTTCATTCTGTTGTATTCTTTTTAAATGTAATAACTTAGTTCATCATTATATATAGGCTTCTGTCTTAAAGATATACATGTTGCTGTTAGAGGTAATAATTGAAAATGGACTTGAATTTTCTGTAAATAACCTACCATATCTGCCTGGGTTTCCCCTTGTGAACTGCAAGCTGTTTGTAGGGGTGATTTTAAATGCTAAAATTAAATAAACCAAGAGAAATCTTTTTATAATGTTCATGGTACAGATAAGATACTATTTCAGTGGAATAATATTGAAAATCTACACCTGATAAATTCTTAGGAATATTTATATGCCTACTAATTAATTTTATGGTCTTCTACTTTTGTTAAACTCGACAGGAATAAAAGAATTCATCTAAGTCTCTCAGTTATTTATGCAATTTTAGAAGGTGTAATACAAAATTTCAAAGTAATAACTACGTGCTAAAGGGTAATAATTGTTTTTAATTGTTCCATTTAGCTTCTTTTTTTCCATGTATGCGTATTTATAGAAACACTGTTTAAACAGATTTATAGATTGGGGAAATCCCTTCAAAACTCAGATGGTTCTTATGCTCTCTGGCATTATCTCTCATGGCAGTGTCAAAATTATATAACAGTGTTGAAAAAGGATAAAAGTGAGTGGCAGTAAGAGGAAGAGCACCATAATGTGCTTTATTCACACTGAAAAATTCCAATTTAACTGCATAAAATCTACTATAAACTCTGGTCTTAGAGTGATGTTTCACCACAGTATTCTAAGATTTGTTAAGCATTAAAGGCCATTTTTTGGAAAAACTTACTTCCATAAAGTTTTTTTTTTGACCTATCAAAAATGTTTCTTTTTTTCTGTGAAGGAAACAATATGTTCTCGCTTTCTTCATGCTTGTTCACTGTAATGTCTGTTGGAAAACTTTAAATTATTTGCTTCTTCTCTTGGAACTTTAAATTATTTGCTTCTTTATATGCTGCTAATTTAATATGGAGTAGAAGTACCAATTTTATTCTCACCTATTATTGTTAGTTTAATTAGGAAGAAGGGAACATGATTTGTAGAGTAAAATTTTCTGCCTGGCTGATTTTATTGATGGCCTTATGGTTGAAATGGACAGCCTGTTCCTGTTTTAATTTTTTTTTTTTAATGTTACAGCTAAGTTTGTGGAGGATTAATAAAACAGTGTAGTTAAGCACATATAACATACAGAAATAAAGGAAAAACCTCAAACCTTCCCTACCATGGTGATAAGCTTGGAGTAAGAGAAGGCAGTTCTCTGTCAGTTACGTGTCAATTATTCTCAAGTTTTAATGTCTCTTTTTTGAGAGTATATTTTTGTCACGTTCTAGTGAGACATTTAGTTTATTAGAGAAAATGTGCTTCACTTGCATCAAATACAAAGGAAACTTGTAGCAGCATAGGGCATTATTGTGTAAAACCCATTGACTTCAGCGAGTCTCCTCATCTGATGAAGGATTCCTGGGGCTCACAGCGCTTTGCAGAACATAGTGTAGATAAACCATTGCTGCCACAGACAATTCTCATGTTTCATTTCACCTCTCTGCAGCTCCCTCCTTTCCCTCCCCTCTAAGTTATATGAATTTTGTGGTAAATTTTCCTGAATTCTGTGTTGGCCATGGCACTTATCTACAGTTTTGCAGCTGTAAGAACACATTTTTAACCATAAAGTTCCAGCTGGTGGTTTGAATTAAGAATGACTGTTTCTTGGGAGGACTTTAGCAGTTCAGGATCCAAACTTAAAATAAATAGGAAGTGGGAATTATTCCTGTGAACTCACCTGAATATGAAAGGAAACCTCATAAAAATAAGGGCTTCTGACATTATAAAAAGAAAAATAAAACCCCAATTTTTTCTTTTTCTGCTTGCTTTAAAAGCATATTACTTTAACATTTCAAATTGTACTGTTACTGTTTCTACATGTTATCAGTAAAGGCTTTTAGTCCTAATGTAGGCTATTTCCCAAGCATTTACCACATGCCCACTGAAAGAAAGAGACATAGAGGCAGTTTACCCTTTGGTTCATGGGTTCATTTACTAAACCCCTAGGATCCAGTTCTTTGATCAACTTGGTACATGGAATTCTGGTGCTAAAGCCTTCTTTAGTTCCTGACACCATGATTTGCATGGGGTCTGGGTTAAGATACACCTGAAGAGGTTTAAAATAACTGTGAAAATTGCTAGCTTTTCATGTAGGTATGTAGTTCTTATTAATAAAACATGCCAATCAAAGGTGTACCCGATCTCAAAATGTCTCTGGCATTGTCAGATCAGGGGAGAAGGTAATTTCTATCAGAGTAAAATGAATTCTGGAATACTTGGACAGGGTTTGCAGGCTGATTTTCACCATGCAAAGGCAAGTGAATATATTCCAAAGGTGTGGTGGTTGCTGCAGGAAGAAAAGGTTCCTGTTGTCCTTTCTTGCTGTGCCCAGACTTACAACTTCTGAGGAGCCAGTAAATCCTGATGTTGGAATTATGTGAATGATTTTACTAACTTGAACCATAAAGCTTTTCTGGGTTACTCCCCAGGGAAATTTATTTCCCTTTAGGTTAGCAATACCTCATAAACCTTTGAAGAATCTCAATGTGAGTCTCAAGGTGAATATAATAATTGTGTTTTGTTTTAGCTGAGGCTTATAAAGACTCCTTATATATTAAGAAACTTCTGAATAAGTCTTCTGTGATTTTATTTTATTTCTTTTACAAGACAGAGATTTCTTTGGATTAACATAATATCACTGTATTTTAGACTTTTTTTTTTTTTATGGCTCTAGGAGTAGGTTATAGATTGCTTTTGATTAAAAGTATTTATTTGAAATGCTGTAAAAAGGAATGTCCCCATGATGTAACATGCCTACTCTTTTTTGTTAAAGTTAGCATAAGCTTCCAAGTTGCTTGTAAAATTTTCAAGTTTGTCACTGTAATAAAATGAAGGTGGCACACCAAGGTTCTTCTTGGACATTTTGTTCTTTTTACCTGATCTATCTGAAGGTTGTATTATAAGGACAGATCAGACCAATGTATCTTCCTCATTTTTACACTGTGTACTAGACTAGAAATTTAAATCTGGAAAAAAATTTTAAAAACTCCTATTTCATTATTTCTGGCTTGTTCATGAAGCTCTTTCTGCATTTGAGTTTTTTAGCTGTGTAGAATGTAGTTTCCAAGGCTAATTTGGTCAGTCAAGTACTTCTTATTCTTATATATACTTCTATATTCTTATGATATAATGATAGAAAGAGGGGGATCTCTAACTGTGAGGAGGGGCATGTAAACACCTTCAATAAAAATCGAGTTTTTGTAAAAAAAAAAAAGGTAGGCGAAGATTCATATCAATAAACCGCTTCAAAAAGTCAGATCATATGCATAGTAGTGTCTTTAAATATAGACAGGGTTGTATTTTGTCTGAATAATACAATATTCAAGATGCTGAAGCATGAATGATATCTAAACTGTACATACACATTTCAGTACTTGAAATTTAGGCAACTCAGCTAAATTTTAGAATGTCAAGAAGGAGAAAAAACTGTAACACTGTTTTTGACTTTTATTTCAGAAAGATGTTGCTGAACTTCTTTTCTTGAATTTAAGTAGCTATTCATAGCATTTTTTTTATTTTTTTTTTGTTTTTTTGTTTTTTTTTTTTTTGTTCCAGAAAGAACAGGTTTCCATATTTCCACCCAAGTCATGTAAAGTGATGCAATATGCAATGTCACTGTGCCAGTGTTCTAAATGCTACACAGTCATAGACTCGTTTAGGTTGGAAAAGAGCTCAGGCTCATCAAATACAACTATTGCTACATAAACCACAATGCTTCATAAATGCCACATGAACCAGTCAGATAGAAATGCAAAATATTCTACTATGCATATTATCAACAGCATTGTTCCAATTTATGTGGAGAAATAGTTCTTTTTCCCTGAAAAGTATATGCCAATCTCTGGGACTGATCATTAAATAAATAAATGAAGATCCTGTTGGTAATAAAATGGTGTATCTGCAGGCTGACTCCTCACCAGCTCTCTTACAGAAATTGTATCAAGTAAATCTATTCATTATCAAAGTAATATGTATGTAATATACAGTACATCAGTACAAATTTGATGTTTGTGTTCAGAATAGCATTTTTCATAGCTTAATAATGTCCAGTGTGGAGATTGAAATAAAATACTGCTTATATTACACTACACACAAGTAGTGTAAATATTCTGTGTCAGCTATAACTAGTGTATTAGACAAATACCAGCATTCATACACACAAAAAAAATCATCATAATTCTTCTTCAGAATCTATACTTTATAATTTGTTACTGAAAAAATGTAACTTATAGAGGCAGTGCCTGGAAACTATTTAAGGAAAGTATGACAGCAAAAGTAATAACTAAAAATCATGAGCCTCTTCATGAGAATCTGGAGGAAAAAGAGTTAATCTAAGATACCTGCATAATATCCAATAAAAGCTGGAATGGGATTTAAGCTAACTTGCAGAGGAAGCAAGGTGAGTGGTGTGTGCTAGCCTTGGATAACTAACTTTATAATGGTAGGCAGTTGAAATTAAGACTTGAGAATTGGCTCCATTTTGAATGACCTTGCCCAGACTGTTCTTCTGACAATCTCCAAGAGGCTGGAAGTAAATTACTTCTTTGGTTTCTTGTCTGTAGCTCTGACTCCCAGTTATCACAGGCTCTTCTGTATAGGCTGCTTTGTGCAGGAAATACCTTCTGGCTTGCTCTTTTTGTGACTTACATTATCATCTGGGAAGATGGATGGAAGGGAAAAAAGACATTTTGGGGCTACAGGAACCAAGAACTCACTAAACAGTTGTTTTTTTTTTTTGCTATGGAAAAATATTTTCCAGTTGTATTCTCTTCTTCAGTCGTAACTGCTATTGTGGCTGGTTTTATTTGGTGTCTCTTTGCAGTTATTAATCATGTGATGTAAAATGTGGATTTAAATGCCAATTTAAAGAGCTCCTATCAAATTATTCTTTTGTGATTGTTCTGCGACTGAATGGGTATATTTGCAGTTAAACAACTAAGAAACAGTGATTGGAAATGGATTTCAGCTCAATAATTTTACGGTGACTCCCAAAGTGTCTGCCTGTATCCATGAACACTTAGAGCTACCTTATGTTCCGTGCTTCTCACGACTCAGTGCAGTTCAGTCCCTGCCAGGCTCCTCCAGACTCCCCATGACTGAGCACAGGTGTTCCTAATGAATCTGAAGGAGCTGGAGCGCTGAATTCTCAGCCAGCTCTGGTGAGAATTAATCATAACACCTGATTTCATATTTTCATAAAGCTTTGGGCCTTCTTTTTTGTTTGTTTAGTGAGAGTGCTGAAGTCACATGTGGGAGAGCTTGAGAAACTGCCTGGCAGCTGTAACAATGATGTATTTGTGATTTGATTAAGAGTAGCAGATAATGGTCTGACATCATTATCTAATTGCAGGTATTTTGATACATTGGTATAAAACTTCTTAAAACAAATCCCAATAGTTATTGCTGTGTTTAGAATTATAATGGAAATTATTTTATGACTTAAAACTTCTAGTTTAACTGTGATTTAGCAGTAGTAAGCCTTTAAATTATGTTTCTTGTAATGTCTCTTCAAGGGTCTAACTCTTGGCTGGTACCAGAAACAAAAGGAGCAATTGTTCAAGGTGGATATGGCCATACCAGTGTCTATGATGAACTGACAAAATCTATTTATGTCCATGGTGGATACAAAGCATTGCCTGGCAATAAATATGGACTGGTGGATGATCTTTACAGATATGAAGTTAATACTCGGACATGGTAAGTTGGATTTATGGATTTACTGATTTAGGAAACCAAGTTATAGGTTACTGAAGAAAACAGAAGTGTAGAGTAAGGTTGTAGCAAAGGCATGCAGGTACCTCTATATCCTTTTCACATTTCAGAGCAACATGTTCTCTGCAACAAAATGTAAGAATTGTGGTGAGGGACTAGACTTGAGTCAATGGATTAGTGGAGCTATTCACTGAAAGGACAGCAGGGAGGAATCTTGTGCATGTTCTACAAACTAGGAGAAGGTTTTCCCTTCCAGACACAACCACTGTGCAGAAATAGCTCATGTGAACCGTTTCCTCGTGGTGTGAACACGCTGCTGGAGTACATTATAGGGGCTGTTACTCAAAGAAGTAGAAAACCCTAAGAACCGTGGAAGGTTATTTTTCAGAAAACTATCAGAAATAAGAGAGAAAACCTCTTGTATTATGTAGGAGTACTTAGTTATGAATTCTTTTGGTGTTTCTATTTCTATCAGTTCCTTGTTCCTCAAGTTTATTGTAACTTATGAAGGCTACTTATATGTTATATACAGAAAGTGGCCTTGAATGTGTTTTCTTACCTTTGAGATTCGAGATCAAGAACTATTTCTTTGAATGTTTTATTCTTATGATTTAATATTTGTTTAGAGTATTAATGGCTTCACTTTAAGCACCCAAAACTTTCTCTCAGATGTTGGAAACATGGGTTTGATTTCACTGAGGTTCTTAAGACCATTAACTCATGGCATTTGGAAACATTAATACAAGATTTTTCTTTTTTTTCCTTTTAGTGTATTTATAAGTTCCTGGAATTTTAATACTTTCTTATTCTATTTTTGGAACAAAGTGATATTCTTTCCTTTGATGATCTGTTCAACAATAAAATAATAATAATTACTGGAATATTTTAATGCATTATTCATATAAAAATGAATACAGAATACTTCGGTCAACTTTATAGTAATGTAGCATTCTCTGCAGCTTGTAGAGAACTCAAGTCTTTGTTTTGTGAGGTTTACACTGGGAGCGAATTTTACTATGGGACTGAAAACGGGCTCAGAGCATGGAGTAATGGCGTGTTGTAATAAAATCTGAATCTTTGTTTAATGTATCTGTTACACCTTATGATTAGCATTCAAAGGACTTGGTGAGGTAAAAAACTGAATGTGGCACTGGATAGGTGTGGTATGAGGAGGAGTTGGAATTTTGGTGGCTCTCTCATGCCCATGTCCATGCCATTTGCTGGTCCTCACTGTTTGTCTTTGGCACTCATTCCGTTTCTGTGGCTGATTTGGCAGAGGTTAGTAGGCTTCGGTAAGATGAGGTATGCAAGTCTGATTACCTGTTCAAGTCAGTTGCATGTAGGTTTTCATTTCTTAGTATCAATTAAACAAGCTTTATGTTTCTTGGACCTTGAGGGGGCAATATTTTAATTCCTAGTGTGAACTGTATCCCTAAAGCACGATGGGGAATTACAGTATTGGTAATGCCTGCATTGCTTTGCATTACTGCCCTGCTGCTGCAGCTGGGGCACAATGTGGAGCTGGGCTTGGATAATGGCCTGAAGCAGTGGAAGCACCTGCTGGCTCCTGGGTATTTCTGTTACCATTACAGAGTCGTGCTGCTGCGTGCAGCACTCGGCACTGGCGTGTTTGCAGATACACGAGTATGTGCATAAATAATGCATTCAGGGGAAAGCCTGCTGAGACTCTCACAGAATTTGCATGGGGCTGATATATGTTGAAGAGCTCTCTAGATTTCCCTCATTAGTGATGCTAATGAATAGTGAAAATCATGGCCAAATTAACAAACTTCCAGTTCTGCTGAATATTGTGGAAAAGTTGCTGTTACTTGGAGGGATGAAACTCAGCACACAATAAGCAAAGATTATAAGGAAAAAAAACCCACACTCTGGTAGGGACCAGGAGTGGGGAAACACAGTTGGGTCACAAGTAGGAAGGTGAGTAGGCCAAAAAAGAAAACCTGTGGAGACTTTTTATAGCCACTGTGTAGAAGGAGAGTCCTTAGTTTTCCCCAGAACAGTGTATGTCTCTTCAGGCCTTCAGTGATCAACACAACTATTTGTAGACAGCTGTGAGGCAGGATCATCAAAGCAGAGCCTAGTGTAAAGCAATTAGTGTAAATTAGGCAAGAGGGGCTGTAGAAAACTGGAGAAGCAAAAGACAGAAAGGTATCTGCAGTCCGACTGGACAAAGACAACATGTTCTTAGGATATTATCATTCTTTCAAGTCACAGCAGCAGAATTCCTCCGTTACCAGTTGAAAATAGCTTAAAAGTAATGTTTTGTTCTACTTCCATGTAATTCTGATTTTCCGTATTGCTAATTGATGAGTTGAACCCAAATACTACATTTATCTGGGGGTACCATAAGTATCCTGTATCCAGCCAATTTGTGGTTAGAAAAACACACTTAGGTGGTGCTGTTTTCAAAGTAGGTTAATCAGAAATACACAAGAGAAAAGCAAGTCGCTTAATAAGACCAAAAAAAAGGGGTCAAAAGCAGAAGCACATGTGAGGGTATGTAAGTGAATTGAAGGAATTGTCACATTTTGAAGCAATAAAAAGCTCATTTATTTTCATTAAGTCTTTGATATTTCTTTTGATGTTACTTTCCAGGGCTAGGGGGGAATTTATTTCAATAATAATATGGGAATTCAGGTTTGATGCCTTCCTTTCAACTTCTTTAAACATGCAATCTTTTATCACTTAAAATATTTCAAGTTTGTTGATTGCTTTATGCTATTGTGTTAGAAAAATGAGATGTACTTTAAACTCTCTCCCTCAAACATGATGATGATGATGATGCAAAACTACTGAACAAATGCTATGGGAGTGATTTAACAGACACAGTATTATTCAATCATAAGGAAAGATTGTTGAGTCAGTTTGTTACAGGAAACAAATGACAAACAATTTAATTGTAGATTTGAGCAGTGTGTAGTAACGTAAATGAAAATCAGAGTCTAAACTCATAAACTTAGATTACTCGGACAATGAAAGGTTGTTAGGAGAATGTAAAAGGTATTTTGTACTGGTGATCTAATCAGCTCTTCACAAACATGTCTACAGCTGGTCTGCTTAACTAATTCATCTGGCAAAACCCACAAATGGTTACTCTCTTCCTTGGTAAGATTTATTTGCTGGGGTTGAATCAAGTTTGTATTCTGTTCTTTCTACTGGTCCCACATCTGCCACTTTCAAACTGAGGCATTGATACTCTTGGCTACTGTTGGGGCTGGGCCATTGCTCTGGCACAAAGCAGACCACACACACACAGAGGCTAAAGTGAATAAAGAGAGACCAAAGCCTCAATGTGCCTGGACAGTTTTTTTTTTTTAGCACTGAAGTTCACTATGTTTGAGTTTACCAGTCTGAATAAGTTTATGAAGCAGTGCAAGTGTTTTTATCATACCTGGAATGCCTTCTGCCATTTCTCTTCCAGGTCTGGTGTTCAGTTAATTAGGAAAAAAAAAATATGTTTTTCCTTTTGCAATATTTAGAATGGTCTAAAGATTATTTTAGCCTTCTAAAGAATTTTTTATTATGTTTATTGAGCGAAAACTAACATGGCTAAGGATATATAAGAATAGGAATTAATACTATGTATGACTTTTCATTCAGTTTTGAGTAAAATTTACCATATCAGTAATCATTTCTGAAGAATGTAAACACATTAAAATGAATTTTGTGTATATTATCTGGAAAATGTATTATTTTAACTATAAGTGTGATATTTTAAATAAATATAATTTTTTTTACAGTGAGAAAATGGATAATCCTAGAAACAATCTGATTAAATGTCATTGTATTTACTGAGTAATAGCTATAGTTTATTTTTCTTGTTTTGTGTTGATTTCATGTACAAATTTTCTTGATGCCCATATATAGTTTTTCACATGTTAATATATATTTGTTCTTATGTTTTCTAGGACTATTTTGAAAGAGAGTGGCTTTGCAAGATACCTTCATTCAGCTGTCCTAATCAATGGAGCTATGCTCATTTTTGGTGGAAACACTCATAATGATACTTCCCTGAGCAATGGTGCAAAGTGTTTTTCTGCTGATTTTCTTGCATATGATATAGGTATGTATCGTACTGGTTTTTTTTCTCATTTTTACTTTTAAATACAGCAATTTTCCTTTCTCAAGTCCAGCTAATGTGATTCTTTAAAGTTTCAATCCCAATCACCTTAAAGTTATTTATAAATTTTACAGAGTTTTGTTTCATTTTGTCTGAAAGATTTTGGTTTGTGGGGCTCGGCATAGCGGCATCCATGCCATTCACAAGGCCCTGGATATTTTTGTAGTATTTTGGCAACACACTTTTAAGGAAGACAAACTCAAAAAAGGCTCTACATGGCAAGTGGTATTAAGGCTGAGTGAAACGTGAGAAGCCTTTAGGAGATGATAAAAGGATGTGGTACATTTAATTTCAAAAGAGTGTGGCTGAGAGCAGAAAAGATTATTGTTTGTAAATATATGATAAGAATACAGTTTGGAGGAAAACTGTTTGATAACACAAGGGTTAGGGTGGGTGGGTGTCAGCTTTCATTCTGGTGAGTGCTTCCAACCCTTTGAGCTACACTTATGGAAAAGTCTTCCTATAGGATTGTGGAGGCTATAAATAGAAGATTATTTAATGAGTCCATAATCTTTTTCCTATCTTGTGCCAGTGCTGTTCTTACCATAAATAGTTATTCCTTTCCCTGATGTCCATATACATATTTTATGCATAGGCTTTAAATAAAAACATATAACTCATATTTGAGCTTTAAATATAATCATACAGCTCACATAGGGGCCAAAATGCACAGTCACTTGTCCTGGGAGCCAAAAAATGGGCAATCTGTCAGAGCAGCCTGGACTCACGCATGCTCCTGGTGAGAACAGCCTGTGGATATTGCCTGGATCTACTTTTGGCAAGCGTTTATCAGCTGCCTACAGTGGTAGAAGAGGCTGAGACATGTTCCTTCTTTTAGGAATGGCTCTTTATGGCAGTCACTGTAGATATCAATACAATGTCTTTGCTTTAATACAAAAATAATGACTGATCTCAGTACATGGAACATATAGGAATTATTTCCTGCCAGTTTTAAGGGTTGTGTGCATAATACCTTAGCAAAACATTTGAATTTTTTATTTTATCCCTGTTTTGCATATTCCATAACTGCTTATAGGCATGTGATGGTGTGAGCTTTTGATTTTGTTCTCATGTCAGTTTACATGTGGATTTAATTTTTAATGAAACAGAGCTCCTTCCTCATTTTGGAGCATAATGTTATTTATTAGTCTGCATTCATTTGTAGAAGATACACTTAGAGATCAATAGTATGAGTCTTAAAATCTGAATTAATGTAACTTTCTGACTTTCACACACCTTTCACACACAGTTTTTTATCATCCTTCATGAAAATGTTTTATACTTTTTTTTTCCTTAAGTAGAACAATATTTTGGTTTGTCTAGTTGGTTATAATATTTAATTTGGTATTTGTATTCTCTTGCAAGTCACATTCTCCATGTGTTATGAAACTGACAAAGTACAAAAGAAGCAGATGTAGTAATTAGTCTTTCAATGTAATAATTAATCTTAAAAAATGGAATATATGAAGATTGATTTGATTCAGACTTAATCTTCTGTAATATTCATTTCACCAACTTAGAAACAAATTTCACAGCACACATTAGATAAAGACATTTTTCAGAAAACTTGAGATATTTTACGAAAACTTAAATAATTATGCAATAGGTATATTTCAGAATCTTATTTATTTTGTATCATGAGTTTTTGAACAATACTTGGAAGAAAAAATATACGATGCTATCAGAATCACATTTCCTAGATACCTTGCAAGTGATGGAGTGTTATGCCTTGTCTTGTAAAAAATGGGTGCTGTCTGGAAACCAGCTGAATCCTGGAGATAGAGCCTATGCTATTTATGTTCAAGTTGGGCTAGAGAGTACTTTTGATTATCTCTCTTATTATATGTGACATAATCCTCTGGATAGATTGCTTCAGCTTTTTATTACCCATGAAAACACTGTTTTTCATATTAATGTGGAATAACTGTTCGTGTGGCTTCATCTCAGTTAAGCTTAGCTTTTGAAAAGGTTGGTTTCTGATTGGTAATCCACACTCCTCTAGTCCAGGCATAGAGAAAAGTATCTCCAGAGAGCAATTCATTTTACCAAGTTTATGACAGAGGTACCTTTTCTGCACCCCCTGCTTTTCTGAATCACTGCTGTCTAAATTCTGTGCTTAGTCTATAACAAGTATTAGACATTTAAATGTGCCATGAGCCAAAAGCTCAATTCAGTAATTTGAAATGCCTACCACATATTTGTTAAGGGTGAAGACACAGGGATGGGGAGAAGTTATAAAAACTGCTATGGTGCCATAATTCTCATAATTTTATATTGCTTGATGTATTTGCTTATATAGCAGTAAATATATCAAGAGAAGACTCCTGCATTACAAGAAAGACCTTTAGAAATCTGACCTTGGTATATTTCTGTTCTGCTTTGATATTTTACCACCAGGTTGCCCCTGGGTTGCTCTGGAATCCCCTTAAAGATCCATAGAGGGTCATTCTTGTAGACATCAGATATTTTCCAGCTGTGCTGTTATTGCTTCATCCATCTGAAAGAGGAACCTTGGCAATGGGGACAGTCTTGAATGCTGTGGTTGACCTGCAGTTTTCTAAATTATGTTGGTTATGGCTTTTCTTTACAAGGACCTCTGTATGCTTAAAACACTTCTGTTCCAATCAGGTCTTAGTAAAGTAGTTTAGATTATATTTTATGAGTATTCACATGCAAAATTTGCAGATAAAAAGAGATTAATTGGACACACAGAATCAGAGTTTAAAACAGATTCTAACTACTGAGACCAATATTAAAATACAATTAAATAAAAATTTTATTTTTTAAAGAGTAAGGATATTTGTTTTAGTTTCTGGCTAAATGGTGCAGTTAGTAAATATATCTCTGCATGCCCAAGTTCCTTAAGTTTGAGTTTATGAAGTATTCAATCTCTGTCCTTTTGCTCCACATTTGACAGTTGCTAAGGTGTCTGGATACCCATGGTACAGAGAATTATTGACAGGGAATCGTTATAAAAGCCCAAACCTGAAATCCTGGGAACATGGCAGCTGTTTCTGTGCTTTTTCCTAGTGGTGGTGGGAGTTCTGCATTGTTTGGATCTGTGGGAGAAGTGCAATAACCCGTATGTTTACACTGATAATATACTCCACAATATTTCTTTTGTTACTATCTGTATTTCAGTTTATTATTATGGATTAAATAGTATGCAAATTCAATTGCTTATGAAAGACAATATTGCATATGAAGCATTAAGTTTCTTCCAGGGTATTCAAAGCAAGCTTAAAAACATTCTCCTTTTTGGAAAAAAAATTCAAAATTATCTCATGAGATTGACTTTAGTTCCATTTGTAATCAAACATATTGCTTGTGTTTTGTAATAAAATGAATTGTTTATTCATAAATTGTTTGCTTGTAAAGTAAATTGTTTCATCTCTAGTCTTTGCCATTAACAAAATGAAGTAGTTTAAATATCTGTAAATTTTTTTTCTAATATGAACACATCTATTTTTGCAGTTCTCCCTGTTTCTGGAGTTACAAATATATTATCAATGTGCCATCACAAAGAAAATGTAAAGCAGTGCCTGTGAAAGATTAAGTTTTATGCGTTCCTGAGCACTTAAGTTATAAATGCAGTTTTGGTGCAGTCTGTAACAGCAATTACCTCCTTATTGCTGTGCTATTAGAAGAGCAAAGCCATAATAATATAATACACTAATTGCTCCCTTTAATAGCAAAGCGTAAGGTTGTTGATTTCTTTATATTGCTTGGGGAGTCACTGTTATGTGTATAGACTCTGTTGTAGATGTTAGTTCTATAGTTGAAATTCGATTCATGCTGTTTTGAACATACTTGCCATTGTTTTTTCCTGAGAGTAAGGAGATTTTTATTATCTGATTAAAGAAAAATATTTATGCAGTGTAGAAAGACTCAGAAAATAAGTTTTCTGCTAGTTCATAACTTTCATGATGTTTTAGTTTATGTTCAGTGTTTAGTTGTCCAGAGTTATAAATGAGAACCAGACAGAGGTATAATGGTGTCCATATGTTGTGAACCAGCATTACTTCTTTTACCAAAGAAAAAGGAACTTAGTCATTATTAGAAATATGTAAAGAGAAAATAGAAGCATAAGCTGGCATTGGATCCTGTGTAGCACATAAGGCTGCACTGCAGTGTTGCAGAGTGTGATTGAGCAGAATAAATACATTGGCATTTCAAATCTATTGAAATAGTTTGAGATTTAGAAATGATTTGATAAATGTAAGCAAAAAGTAGGTGGTTTCATATAGCTTCTCTTAAAACAAAGCTCTGAATGCAGTAAGAGGTTGTCACTAAATCAGGCTGCCACTGCCAAAATACAAATGTGATCCTAGAGGTGACATATGGAATATCTGTTGCCTCTTTTTTAAAGACTGTCCAAACAACTTTTGCTTCCTATTTTTAACAATACTATTTTTTTCTAGGTTTTTTTTTTCCCCCATTAAGTCACATTTTGGGAGCCTAATCTTAGTTAAATTTTCTAAATCAAAATCTATGTTCAGGTATTTTACTGACATACTGACATGACAAAGTTGGTTAGAAATTATTTGGTTGTTTCTGTTTTGGGTTTGGTTTTTTTTTTCCAATGGAATCATACTGGGAAACCTTCCAGTAGTGTATGAATACTGTTGCAGCATTGAGAACTTCCCTATGAAGTGCCCAGGTCATCTTCTCTGATAACAGTAATGCAGTATTGCCAGTAGGTTGTAGATGAGATGTGTGGAGGCCTGACCTGTTGGAGCGAGGGCTCAGGAGAGCAATACCCTGTGCAAAGTTCAAGTGGGGATTTTCTCTGCCAGCATCAGCTGAATTGCTTCAAATCCAGTGCATTTCTGTGGTGTTTCATCACAAAAATGTGTGTGACTGGCGATTCACTGTCAGAGCCACTCCTGTATTATCTGGAAACCATTTAATCTACTCCAGGGAGGAGGATGAAACTTTTTCTGTGAATGTTATAATGTGGTACAGCTTCTTCTTAAAGTAGAAGCCTTAGTAATAGAAAGAAAAAAAACCTTTATTTCTCCTTGTACTTTTCAGTGGCTAAAAATTCTGCTAATCAGTTTGGAATGAATAGTATTGTTTGTTCATCTGTTTCGTAGCTGGTTCTATTAAAAGCAGAATGTGCTTCCATGTGCTATGTGCTCTACCTGGTTACAGATAGAACAGATACAACTAATACTGTATCTTCCACATGCTATTGGTATAATGCCTTGAGGGCATAACATTTTATGGAGGAAAATATTTCATTCTTTGCTGCACAGAGTTTATCATCATTATTAGACTTAGTATAATACACACAACACGTAGCATTCTGTAATATTGATAAATCATATTGTAAATCATATTACATTTACCTTTTGTCATTTTTTTCTTGTAGTGGTACAGTGAAGTCTGGAAATTTGGGTTCTTAGATGTGTTCAGCAGAAGTTTGAAGATGATTGGCAGGGATGAATTCTATTTGATTCTTTACTGAAAAACAGCAGGAATCAGTCGGCTAGCTATCTGTATTTTGTATTAATCAACTGTACTGAGAAACTCACATCAGGAATTGAAAGCTGAGCAAAAGTCTTATTCTTGCACAGTGCTCTGTTCAGTAGTCATTGAGAAGACTAGGAGCAGATAAGAGGGGAGGCTATTTGTAATAAACTTCCCTCCCTCTCTTTTCTTGTACTCTATTGAAAAGACCTGCCAGTTTGAAAAATACCATCAGTAAGAAAGGAATTATTGTATCTCCAGCCCTCAGGGGTTCCTCATCTGAAAACCAGCCTTTATTATGGTTTTATAGTCTTCCTTTGCTGTTAAATTCCACTTTTTCTAAAATAAATTTCTAAGTACAGGAAAGACTATATATTTATGTTCATAATGTATATGTTTGTAAAAATAAGAAAATTAATGTCAACATTTCCCAGGATCAGGTGAAAATTTAGTGTGAGTTTTAAAATCAGACGGAAATTTAGTGTGGGCTTCCTAAATTGTTTCCTTTATCATCAAAGGCACTCAAGCTCACACATGCTGTGTCTGTTATGTGCAGTGACTTAGCAGCAGCAAGAACTAGATTTTGAAGTATAATAGTAAGATTTTGTTGGTCAATTGTTAAAATGCTTGATTTTTATAGGTTTTAAAATGGAAGTTTTAAAGGAAGTATTTTCTTGAATTAGATTTTGAATTAGTGCTTGGACTGTTGATCCCTTATTTCTAATAAATAATATTGCTCTCGGTCTGAGTTACTTTCATAAGTCAAACCACCTGGAGGCATCAAATGCCAGTGTTATGGATGGATATGGGTAATACACAACTTCTGTATTTAATACTACTCCCAACTTCATCAGAAACTTCTAAGTAGGTAGTTGGTGTCCTAGTGCTGTGATCTCTTTGGTTGAAACTGTTTCAGGAGTATCTCTCTGGCAGGTACATACTTTCACCACTCTATTTAAGCAGAGCAGATAAGAAAAAAACAATTGTGAGAGATTCAGTGTATTAATAATTCCATTGTGTTATGATAATATAATATTAATGATGATAGTGACAGAACATAGAAGTTGAGAAAGAAGTAAGTATTTTTGGATGTGTTGCTCCCATAAGACAGTGAATTAAACTTGCTGTACTTCACACTGCTAATTCCATTGTGAGTCCACCACCTGATGTCAAAATTATTGCTGTTTGAACCATCTGTGTTACTCTGGTAATAATATGCTTTTAGTTTCTGTTTCCAGTTTCTAAAGAGGTGTCAATGATTTATTTATCAGATCCATGGTCTCACAGGGGCTGTCTTTATGGGCTCAGGCTGTGCTTGGGTGGAAACCCAAGCTGATTTAGCGGTGTTGCTGTCTTAGCTGTGCCGTCCTATCCTCTCCTGTGTGCTGAGTCCATCCTCATGTGACCGTGCACTGAGGTGTTCCAGCGGGCTTTGCTAACAGGATGCTGACTGCACAAAGTGCTGCTGTCAATAATTTTCTGCTGTGAATAATTTTCTGCATTAGAAGTGCCAAAACAGCAGCACTGGCAGAGTTGAACTGTTCTGACAGTGGGAATGAGACCAGCCTGGAGGACAGTTTGTTCCTCCTGGATTTCCTAATATCCATTTCTGGTTTTTAAGCTGAGGAGTGAGTTTATGATCTGACTATTGAGAAATGCCTCTACCCAAATTAAGGTGCAAAAAAGCCATATGCCCAAGCCAGTAGCACAGATTTTATTTAACAGTAAATGTGAAGGAGAGAGAGATGGGGAAAAGCAGGGGGGATACAGGGGGAGTAACAAGACTGAGAGAGAGACAGATCTTTGTTTGCCACAGTAGAAATTTTTGTCTGGATGCATTTCCCAGGATGTACTACCCTGACTTTGCCAGGCCCAGAGCCAGTCCCATTCTGTACTTATCTTCAGGACAAAGTCCTTCTGTGATCCTAAAAGTGTTTGAGGCAATTGTGATCTCTTAAGTCTTTTATAGGAGGGAAGATGATTTTTTGTTTTTTTTTTGTTTTTAAATATGTGGTCTGATTGTGATATTCATTTATTTATTAACCATATTTGTAACTTGCATAAATCATTCCATATTTTAAGTACATCATATACCTTCTTTAGATGTGACTGTCATTGGAATCTTGCAGGTAAATGAACTCAGCATTATTATGTAAAACCTCTCTTGCATTAAGACTCTGGAAACAGGTTTCAGATGTGTTCTCGACAGTCTTGATGTCTGCCAGCAACCTTTTCTAATTGTTGATCTTTTTAGGACACTTCTGCTTGTGTTACTAACTCTGACTCTGCAGCTTCTACAGGCATTACTCTCCACTTCTCTGTATTATGAAGAGTTTACTGAGCAAATTCATTTTTAAAAAAAATTATTTATTTTTTTTGTCTTTGTGTCCAAGTTGATAGCTTTGCCTCTGGCTTAAAATGAAGTTTCTATATATGTAAATAAAGCAATGCTTTTATTTGGAGTAAATTGGAGAGCCTTCTTTCCCTTCCACTCTTTTTCAGCTTTGGATATAATGCTTATCCTTTGTGTGTATAGCAGATTTTTGTTTTTTTAATGAGAAAACTCTCATATTAGGGTTACAGTTGTCCTGAAAGTTTTCCCTACCTGACTCCAAAACCCATAATGACAATAAATTCTAGGAATGTTTTATTTGCTCTTTCCCTACTCCACTTTATAGGGATTTCCTTGAAGTTCCTATCTGTAGTTTCAATCTGCTCCCTATTTCTTTTACTGTGGGATTTGAGTATATGAAGTCCATGGTGTTTAAGTAGGAAATAATGAAGAAAGGACTAATTGTTCTCAAGAACTAAAACCCTAGTGAAGAAAGAAAAAATAAACCACAACAAAACCACTTTTGTGTACAGCAGTTCTAAAAGATATGTACTTGAATAATTAATTTGACATGGAGATCCTGATACATCATTCCTCTCAAGTATGTGGAAAGTAATTAGAAGCATACTTAAATCAAGATACCAAAAGTAAGGCAATAATGAGGTGGGTTGCATAGCTGAAAGAATAATAGTTTATTTTAAAACACTTAAGAAAGAACTATGTTCACTGCCATAGATATTCCATGAAATACTTATAAATTGAAAACCTTTAGCTAATTTGAGAGCATGTAAACATGAGGGCAATATTACTGGTCCCTTGATCACAACGATGGCAGGGCTTGCTGTTGTGGGTGCTGAAACTGGCTGTGAAGGCAGACAACTGCACATACAATAAAGTGGCTCTTCTATGCATGTCCAGTGGCTCTTCTATGCATGTCCTGTGGTCTTGATAAGTGTTAGGATAGATCAGTGTTGCTGACATGTTCTTTTAGCATCTACGCACAAATGCATCTAAAAGGAGTAACCTGCTGATTAATCCTTGAGTACTTAAAATATACTTCACCTGTATTTTGCTGAAAACTTCAAATTATTTGATATATGTTTGGTGTTTTGTCTTTCAGCTTGTGATGAATGGAAGGTTTTACCAGTAGTGCTCATCAGGTAATGAGTACAGCTAATCCCCAGTCTGCCAGGCTGTGGGAGCTGTTCAGTGACATTTAGGTGAACATTCCAGTGTACTGAGGTGTTTTCCCACTATTGAGGACTACACTGAATTTGATATTTGGTACCAAGGATAACCCTTACTTAGGTGTGATGGGAGAAATCATTTCTCTTTGCAGTATGCTGTAATTCTTCATTCTTCTACAATCATAAGATAACCATGTAACTAAAATTTTCTGGGAGAAAGGCAAGATTTTGATGATACTGATACAGTTATTATCTTTAACACCTGAAGGAGGAAAAGCCTGCCAGCAACTAGATGATATTAAGTTGGAAAAGTTGTAGAAAACAGTAGTCAGGTTTAAAGAAATGTTTATTATTTTATTTGTCTCAGCTTTTGTTTTGCTGGTTGCCAACTGGCCTAGTTGAATCTAAAATTGCAGTACTATAGATAATTTTACCTCTTCTAGATTATTCATCACACTAATAAAGCCAGGACTTAAGTATTTGTGGGCAACTTAGGGGTCCTCCATATAAGGATGCTGTATAGGTCAGAAATGAGGTAATGAATAATGCTACAAATATGAATGTGACTGCTTTTAACAAAAATAGAACTAAATTGTAAGTATGTACACAGAGCACTTGACATTAATCAATGAACAGATTTATTTATTAAGACAAAATTGCTTGGAGTTAATGAATTCAGCAACTGATATTTTTTCATTATGATTTGTGTATTTTATGCCATCTAAGCCATATCTGAGACTTTGAGAACTGTCACTTTCTATGAATTTCATTCAAAATGCTTTTTTTTTTATATTATTTATTTTTTTTTTATTTTTAAAGAACCTAGTGGTATTTTTGGTAAAGTTTTTGGTACCAAAACAGTGACACTCTCCAGATTTCTGCTATTGGTAACTCTGTGATTAATTCTGTTTTAAGAGTACATCATACAACAGATATAGAGATTACTATGAGACTACTTTCTATTGCTATTATTATCTGAGACTGTTCTTAGTTTTAATGAGAAGGGTGAGGACTCAGGTTTTGTCTTTTGGTTCCTGTGTCAGCAGCTACTGCACCAGAAATGTTACCAAAAAGAAATATCTCTCTTGCCAATTGTTGCTACAATTGCTACTGTCTTGAAAAGAATGTTCTTGTTTTCTGAAGGCAAATATTTCATGCTCTGTTCTCAATATTTAACTTCAAAAATGAGTGCATTCTTCCAAAGCTCTTTGGGTTTTTTTCAGACAATTGGGATATGCCACTCCATATGACAAACAGCACAGGGAGCTTTCAGCAATTTTTTCTGTTACTGTCAACATCCATGGAGAAATAAATTGAAAAAGTAATCAATAAAGAAACCACTGATAGAGTGTTTATTAGAGAAAGAATAATATTTTTTTTTAATAATACTATGTGGGTTTTTAATTGTATACCAGAAGAATATAAGAAAATGTGCCTACAATAACTGTTGACTTTCCTTGCTTTTTCCCAATAGATCCATGTACATATTTGGGGGTTTTTCAAGTGTTCTATTGAACGACATCCTTGTGTACAAACCTCCCAACTGTGAAGCATTCAGAGATGAAGAGCTGTGCAAAAATGCTCGTCCAGGAATAAGGTGCCTGTGGAACAAGAAACATTGTGAATCTTGGGAATCTGGACATGCTAATAATATCCTTAGAGCAAAATGTCCCAAGAAAACAGGTAAGTGAATTAGAGTCAGGTTTGTAATGCAATGTAGGAGATGGGGGTGGGCAACCCCCAAAGACGTAATCACATGGAAATAGTGTCTGGAATGTTAAGAGTGTTCCCCCCTGAGAATACCCAGCCCAAGAGATATATTGACTATTTTTAAAAAATCATTCAGTTGTGGAATCCTTTTGTATTTTACATGCAGGGAAGTAGATGCAAAAGGGCACAAGTTTAAGGTGCTAAGGGAGAGCAGAGCAGCAGTCAGAGCACAGATGGACGCTGCAAGTGATACCTGGTGTTATGGGCATATGGCACTCCCATACCTCTGTGTACCAATAAAAGAGGAAAGCATCACTGCTTCAAGCAGATTGCTTGTGAAAAAGGAACATTTGTACAGAAGAATATAGCACAGGCACAGCTGGGAAAAAACCTGAGGCAAACAAGCCCTTTGCAGTATGTCAGATGGGTTCAAGTTTGTCATATGAATTTCTCTGTGGCATTGTGAAGGCTGTATTGTATGAAACAGCAATTTACTGTTATGAATAACTGTTCCAACCTATTCCTGAGCATTTTGGCTTGTCACAAATAAATTGTTTGTGAAAGTGTTGTTCTTATATGTCACATGAACAGAATATTTATCCCTGCTACATGCACCTACTATTTTTTCTATGCATCTTTCCTTTCAGCACAGTGTAAAATTGCTTCCAAAACTTTGTCTGTGTGCTGTGTGTACAAACTGCCATACAATTAAACTGCCAGTCTGTGTTTAATGTTCATTGAAAAGTTACTAGTACTGCTATTAATCAACACTTCAAGACATTTTATTTTTCTGAAAGCTTTTACTTGTTTCTAGACTGGCTATAAAATCACAAACTCAGAAAAAAAAGGCACATGATATAACAAAAACATTATCCAGGTACAGTTTTCTGGAAAATGGCTTTTGAACCATTGCAGAGCTTCTAGAGATCTACAATTTGGAAAGTTTCATCTATATAGAAAACGAAAAAAATCTTATGGCATTAAATTCAAATGTAATACAGATAGAAGTGGATCTTATAAAAAACTGATCGTAGCAACAGGTGTTTATAAAAGCCAAACAGAACAAAGCACAGAAAGTCTGAAGGGAAATAAAAAAGAGCAGTTTCTAAAGTACAGGTGCTGCAGTGGAAATAAAGCACAACTCAGCTTGGAAGAGATGAGCTCTATATAATTCCAGTTCCAGAAGAAGTTATGTGACAAGCACTGTTTCACTGCTATCAAATTTGTCCAGTTTCAGGTGTTAATTTTTTGCCAAAAGTCAATTTTTCATATATTCTTTTACATTATTTGACTCAGTTGTTACCTGGTTGAGAGTACCATCTGAGAAACAGCTGATGGTCAATACTAAAGGATACACAGAAATTTTAGTGGTTTTCAAGAGATCAATTCTTGGATGACAAGACTTCCCTGGCAAGAGAATCTTTTAAGCTTGCATGAACCTGAAACTAAAGGAGCCAAACCAAACAGGATTAAACACAGTAATCAGTGTAAGAGATGGTACAAATTCTCCTATTTTACAGCAAGGTGACTTTTAAAACCTTTGCCACATTCAACAGAAGTAATAATTTGTGTCCTAAATGATTTACATAACCTAAATTTTAGTCCAAGTTGCATTGTTAAGAATATTACATTGACTCTTTTTCAGATACTTTTTGTAGATAAAGGACAGAGTGTTAACTTACCAGTCATTCTTAGGTTCATAAATTAATTTAAAAAGATTTAAAATGTACACATGTTGCTAATATCTTAGATTGCTTCATTTACTACTTTTATCTTATCTTTTTGCATAGCCATCTAATATTTATAGAATCCTACATTTGAAGAGAACCTTTCTTCCATGTTAAAGGAGTGAAGAAAAAATAATTGAAAGAAGATCTTCATATTCTTAATTTTTGCATTGCTGTAAATCAGTGAATATTCCTTTAATTGATATGAGAATTATGAACCTTCAACTATAAAAAAAAAAAAGTAATTTTTAACAGAGTAAATCCTATTAACCGAATAGAATTAATTTCCTACAGTAACTTAAACCCTTATGAATGGCTAGAGTTCAAATGAAGGATGCAACAGAAAAAGCTCTGAGAAAGTGTTTAAAATGTGTCATAATTCTCCTTCTGTGGGACGTTTGTGTTTGATTTGTGTGGCAGCTGCTGCCGACGACAGATGTTACCGCTACGCGGATTGCGCCAGCTGCACCGCCAACACCAACGGCTGCCAGTGGTGCGACGACAAGAAGTGCATTTCAGCAAACAGTAACTGTAGCATGGTGAGTCCTCACAAGTCTGAGTATGTCATCAGTACTTTTCCTTCTCTAGGTTTAGTAGAGTAGTAGCTGCTTGCTTTTGACACAGACTTGTTTGCCAGGTTTTTGAACTAAAAATGTTGCAGAAGGCAGAGCTGAACTGCAGCAAAAGAATCTATTTCAGGGTAAAACAAATATTCTTCAGGGTTGTACTGCCTACTGTGTATTTCTTAATACTGTTATCCCCTAATTAATGACATTTGAATAGTCAAGGAGTCGTCATTAACTTGGATTTCATGGATATGTGGTGTACAGTAGACAGGCAGAAACCATGGAATCCCATCAAGGGTACTGTTTGGCTTTTTGCCTTTCAAACAGGACCAGGCCAGTCTCATTAGTCATGCCCTTCTGATCATTGATCATCATAGAAATGGTTTTCTTTGTCATGGAGTCATCTCATTAAAGGAATATGAGCTTCTGTAACCGTGAGGTCCACTGGCTTGTGATGATTTGGTTCTGATCTTTTTAAGTACAAGCAATCAGATCACATAGATTCATGCAAGTTTATAGTTTCTTCTTTTTAATATTGCCTAATGCCAAAAAGTTTTATACTTTATGTTGCTGTTCATCAGCTGCTGCATCTCTTGCTTTTTATTTGAGTTTTGTCAAGCTTATAATAGTATTTCAGCTTTATAAATTTAGCCACCTTACACTTTTCAGCTGTCCACAGACACCTGGCTGTACTTGAGTTCAAAATCCTTTCTTTGCGCTTTCATTAGTAAAAGTATCTTGCTCTCTGGCTTGAACCTGATGCAAATCAATCTTGATCTCCAGACAAATTAAGGTGTGAGTTGGATTGACTGTGACTCAAGTCTTTCCTGTTCAGAGTGAGCACAGCCAGCTCTAATCACTGGCATTTGTAGCTAGTCACTACTAATAAAAGGAATGCAGACACAAATTCATCAGTAGCCACAGTTACAAGTCTGTCAGAGGGATTTCACATTCCAGGCACTAATGGTTAGTTTCCTTTGTGATCTTCAGGGGTCCTTCTTCTCCTGACACATCGTTCTTTATTAGGTGCTAATTTGCAAACCGTGGTTTTCAGCTCCTGAGCAAGGAATAGTTGCTAAGGAGCAGACCATCTTCATTCCTAATAAATGATCCCTAATAAATGTGGAGCACTAGGTATTTTAGCACAAGCTGCTTGGTTCAGTGTCCTTCTTTGACAACCTTTCACGACTAAGATTGTCAGCTTAATTAGCAAACTACGAAGCCTGCTCTGTATAATTTCCCGTCTTTTAGTCAGAGTTTGAAGTGGATAGGAAAGGCTGTTAGTGTAGTTACTGAAGAACGGGGTAGCAAAAAATTCATCAAAATGATTTCTGGAAAGAGGTGCTGTCATAAATGTAAGGTGCCTGTTGCAAAATTAGTCTATTGGCTGTGAGATGATGGTGGCAGAATTTTGCAGCTTCGATATAAGCCCACCAAAATAGCATCAACAGAATGGTAGCATGTGGAAAAAGAAATTGATCAGGCTCATTATCCATTTCCATAGACCGCTACTTCTGGATTAGGCCCACAAACGAAAATGTTGTGACAGCACTCTGATGGTAATATGGGATAACAAGCTTGTAGACTTAGGAATATCACAAGGAGCCCTTGCAGCTGTACAAAAGCCTTGATTTATCACTTAGCTCATAGGACTCCAGATGAGACAGACAATAATGCTTTAGAATCTGCTCATGGAAACTGGCCAGTTTACTAAAGATGTGCTGTCAACCAGTTTGGCATTGCCTCATGGTCATAGAGCAAATTTCATCTGCAAAGCAGTGGCTACTCTGCTGAATGGAAGGCTTGTAAAATATGAACATTTCCCTGAAATAACTCTAGTTGGACAGATGGATTTCATGAGTAGTGCTAATGCATTGATGATACACCTGCCTGTGCTCACCCTCTGATGTGAGCCAGCAGGTAACAGGACACTGTATTCCCCTACTGTGCAGACCCATGCATCATCAAGGTATAGATCATATAGACAATGCTCATATCTGATGTCATTGCAGGCAGAGGCTTGGTTAATCTGCATCTGCTTAATATGTTTATGAAACTGTATTCACTCTCTGTGTCTCTACATAAAATGCTTTATCTTGCTTCCTATGAAAATTATACTCCCTTACTGCCAATCCTGTTGTGCAGAACGTTGACTATAATTTGTAATGTAAACAAGTCTTTACCAAAAAAGGGAGAAAAAAAGAAAAGACTTTGTGGGAGAGATTAATTTCATTTTAGATTGCTGCACCTTTACAAAATGTCATTCAAAATGTTTACTTTACTGAGAAAGAACAGAGAGAGTTTGAATTTCCCAGTAAAAAAATTTACTTGGTTAATTTTGTTCAATTTCTAAAGAAATAAAAAGAATTGATGAAGTAGCCTTAAAGAGAGCCTTAGTATGTTGAGGCACAGCTGAATTGTTTTATTTCTCCCTCCACCCACTATTGCATTTTTGGCAATGTTGTCTTCAGAAGCTCCAAGGGGGGCATTTTCCTACAAGAGGGATGTGTTTCCTCTCTGACTGAGACCAGCCATGCTCTTACTGCCAGGAGCAGTCTCTGAATTTCTTGTGTGTTGGTCTCCACATGTGCAATACAATAAAGCCTCAGTTGATGACAGTTACCTAAATACAGCCCAGATTGGTGTGTGATTTAACAGTGTTCTTTATCTGAGTGTGGCAACATAAAACAAACATTGTCAAATCCATGAAGGGGATTAGAGAGGGTTGTTTTGCTGAGGAAATGGGATACTAGAGGAGGCTTCTAAGAGACCTATAGCCAGACATCATTAAATATTCTTGCACAGTGCCTTAAAGATAAGAATCCTTGTTTTTTTGTAATGTTTGTATTGCTTCCAGAAAGCTCCTTCTTTCACAATAGGAGTTCTTGGATGACACAGTAATACCAATAATAGTAATCATGGCAATCTGCCTAGATTTGAGGAATTCAGAGAATAGACAAGAGGAAATATGTAAAGTAGTAGAAGGAAATATGAATTGAATCAAATTTATCTTGGAGGAAATAAAGAAAATTTATGAGTAAAAAGTACCCAGCAGCAAGTTTTGGGAGTAGCTTGAGGAAAATAATAGGAAATCTATAAATTAATAATTTACATTTCTATTAGGCAAACTAGACAAGGTTATACTGTTAACCTGAAAAATTCAGGAGGACAAGAGAGGTACATAATTTAATAGCAATTTCGGAAATTCTAAGACAAACTGTTGTAATATTTTTCATTCTCCAATAAATATTCAGAAAATCACTGCAGTTCGTAAGTCTGTCTATACACTACTATATCAGGATCAGTACTTAAAACTTATACTACTATATGAGGATCTGTGCTTAAAAAAAATCTAAGTAGATCAGACATGAGGGAGGCTTTATATATAACATGATTTACTCATGCTTTGGTGTGTAAGCATTATAAATATCCTACAGCAATATAGAAGTTCTGTAACAGATGGACTGTCATCTTTCTGAATTTCATTGGGTTTGGTAGTTTAAGTTATAACCTTAATATTGTGTTAATATGAATTACCTATTGGATTCACATCTACATTGAACTAATGAGATTTTCAGGCAAGCAGTGTTTAAATTGGATTTAAGGGAAATAAATGCTGGGAATAAGGGAATACAACAAAGAACATTATTATAGAACAGTCACTAGTACTTTGAATTTTATTTTAAACATTAAATAACCAGAACACAACAAGCTTCATGATTAGAAAGTAATAGAACAAATATCTCAGCTTAGGTGGAAAATTGTAATCTGTATGTAATACCACTGAAGAGTATATAATTTAAAAAAGAAATCTGAATGCTTAAGGGTATGTCAAAATGAAGTGTTAAAAGTGAGTATTAGTTGAGCTATTGTAAATGAGCAGATGGTGGTTACTTGTGCTCTAAAATTCATTTTAAAGCATCTCTCAGGCAGTTTTGTGAATATGTTTCATGACTGAATGAAACTAAATGTGGGTTTGTACCAAAGATCTGTTTTTTTGTGCTTTACTGTTGTATGCATTTTTGGCCTAGATAGACAGACTTGCTGGCATTGCCTTTGGCTGTTTTGTGTTGTGGTGTACCTGCCTGCACCCAGACCTTCTCTGGTCCTGTTTGCTTCACAACAGCCTTTCCTATTGAAGAAAAAAGTCAGGACCACTTGAAATAAACTTACTGGTAGGCATCTTATCCAATAAAGGGAAAAAAATAAAATAAAATGAAATGCCTCAACAGTAGTGTTGTTCAGCAGGAATGAAGCTGGTTCTGTGTGAGATTGTGAATTCACTTTCACAAATGCATTATTTCAGGCCTTTAAAAATACAGAAATAAAAGGAGACAGCTTTTCTCCTCCCTGCTCTATCACAACAGCCATATTCCAGTACCAACCACTGTGTAACTTATTGTCATGCAGTCACTTTATAAGTTGTTAAATCATGCTCCAGAAGACTATTAGAAAGGAAAGCAACCAACATTGTCAATAAATCATGCATTTGCTATCCAAGTGCAATCCATTTTTGCTGCCATGTATTAATTTAATCTTTTGTTGTTTAAGAAAGACAAGAGTTATTAGGGTTTGACAAGAGGGACTCCCATAGGTCCCTTCCAATCTCAACCGTTCTGTGAGTATAAAGCTGTGTTGCATTAGGACTTCCTTTTAATTATTACCTTGAAATTAAGTTGGTAGAGAGAGCCTTATAGGTAAGCTGATGAATTGGCTGAAGATTTAGGGCAGTTCATTAAATAAAATATCAATACAATGCCTTAATTAAAAGCACTGTGCAGTGGGAAGAATGATTTGTATTCAAAATGTCCAACTTGGAAGACCTCAGTTTTCAGGAAAAAAACAACAAACACTGACCAAACCAAATAAAAGCCCCCAGGTTTCCTTCAGTGTTTACTGCTTTTCTTGCATACTACGGTACCAAAGGAATAAAGTTATCCCCGGTTTTGTCATGTGTGGAGAATATTCTTGCACCTTCAGTAATTAAAAATGTAATTATTTTGCACCTTGTGCCATTTTTTATGTTCTGTTTGACTATTTTTCTTGCTTTAACCTGCATAGGATGAAATAATTTAGTGAAAGTATAACCGTAAACTATCTAAGAAATAAATATTGAGTTTAGTTTTTTAAACTCTTCCTGCTCTCTGTACAGGGAATTGGCCTCTTTAGTTTGAGTCTCATAGCTGTGTAGAGCAAGTGGGGTGATTTGTGCTCCAGTGTTACATTCTACATCTGACAAAGGATTCTAGATAAGGTGCTCAAATTCAGCTTAGCTTTTAGGTGGCCACAACTATCTGGGAGGGATCCACCTGCTCTGTATTTAAGTTTTGACTTCTGTTTTTTTAATAGCGGTATGCTTGAGGTGCTGCTTTGTCTATTTTTACAGTCAGTTAAAAACTACACGAAGTGTCACGTGAGGAATGAGCAGATCTGCAATAAACTGACGAGCTGCAAGAGCTGTTCCCTGCACCTGAACTGCCAGTGGGACCAGCGGCAGCAGGAGTGCCAGGCACTACCTGGTAAGGGAACGCCACAGCTGCTTTCAAAACTGAGTCACTCTCCTCTTCCTTGCCAGAGATTGTTTGTTCATGAGCAGATATGGATTTGTGCTCGCTCCTCTTGCCTGTCTGTGCCTGTCCAGGTGAAGGCAGATGTGATTACAGCCCTGACTGGGGGATCAGTGCCACCTTTACTCATTTTGGGGGAGATAATGCCATTAGTGAAGGCACAGTGATGCGCTGCACAGGGCAGTGATGAGCCCTGGGTGCAGAGCTGAATGGCCATATTACTCTGGTGTGTACACTGACATTGGTACTTTTGCTAGCTGGGGTTTTACTGTAAAACTTTAAATTCAATTATGCTTCAATTTTCCTGTGCAGATAGGGCCCAAGATCTAGTTTCTTGATTGTCTAATGTTGGTACTACTATGAAAGCAATGAATATTAAAATGCTCATATGAAATATTCTCAGAAGGTGACTGTTAACATTCTGAAATAGTATTTTTTTTGTAATTTACATTCATAGCTACATATATGCAGTTAGATGTCAGAACCTTTTCCAATTGATCTTATGTCCAGATGAAGTTAATGAACACTTTTTTTTACAGAAATGATTCATTAAATAACTTAATTTATTCTCTGCAGTTCAAAACTGTATTTATGTAATCTTTGTAGATTGACTATAACAGTTGCTCTTACTTATCTTTTAATAGTTATCTGAGTCTGAGTAATCCTGTAAAATGTCAAAGAGAAATATTTTCTGAGATGTTATCTGAATTTTCTATCATTTGGATTGCATTAGTATTTAGGCAAATATAAATGCAAAGATATGATAAAACAAGGATAGTGTAAAGTTGTGATTTCTTAATTCCAGGACAGTTGTTATATTTTTAAATTTACATAGCATTTAAGTAAAAGAAGGTGTTAAAACTATTATTTATGTACATAATCTAATCTTAATATTTAGTTGTGCTCAGTTCTGAATGAATACAAGGAAGAAATAGTGACATAAAAGCATTATGCTGAAACTTAGCATTTATCACAGAATTATTTTTTAAGTTCCTGGAATTTTCTTTCCATAACAATACACTATTTTATATGATGATACTTGGTATTTTAGAATTTATGTGATGTGAAAAGGGAAATTGAGTGTGGGATGTATTTTGATTTATGATCTCAGGAAGATAAAATTCAGACTCCCTTGGGTTTTTTAAAAGTTTTTTTCAAATCAGCTTTAACTGTATGCTTTTTGCACCAGCTCACCTGTGTGGAGAAAGATGGAATCACATTGGAGATGCCTGCCTCCACATCAATTCCAGTCGGGAAAGCTACGACAATGCCAAACTGTATTGCTACAATTTGAGTGGAAATCTTGCCTCATTAACAACCTCAAAAGAGGTGGAATTTGTTCTGGATGAAATACAGAAGTATACACTTCAGGTAACTTGAGGAGCTGATGAGTAATTGATGTTTATATGAAACAAATTTGCTTTGAGAAATCCCTTCTAGGGTTTTGTCCAAAGAGAAGACAGTTTTTTCCTTCAAAGAAATGTGTTAAATGGTGCTAAAGACTGGTACAAGTCACGTGTAAGATGTTAAGGAAATCTCATATTTAAAACAAATCACACAGCAGCTTCCAAGATTTCCCCTTTCCAGATTTAAATGCTAAAAGTTACTGTTTACTTGGCAGAGAGTATTTGCTCAAGAGAATGGCTGGAACACTGATTTTGTGTCCTGGTTTTAGCTGGGATAGAGTTAATCCTGAAATTCAACACAGGCAAGGGCAGGGTCCAGCATAATCCCATGCACCAGTACAGATGTAACTTCTCCAGAAAAGCCAGTTTCCTCTGTAACTGCTTTGTGGGATCAAAGGGTCACAGAGAAGCTGCACTAGTATGTAAAACATGTAGCAATTCCCTGCACAGCAGTGCTGGAATTAGCTGGAGCTAATTAGCTTTCTCTAATAATGGTGGGGAGAGAGACAGAGCTGAAAACGCTTCCATGCCTCTGGCAAATGCAGCAAGCTACCACCAGAATATTCCTTAGAAAAAATGATCCATATTAACAATCCATATATTGTTAACTGTGGGACAAGAGAAGGGAAGAGAAATTACTTGTCCCTGGGTGGTCAGGTTCAATTTTTTAGCAGTTAAATATTCAAATGCTTATTGCTGTGTTTAAACATCACTGGTTTAAGTATATGAAATGTAAGAATGCTCAGAAATATGAAACCCATCAGTGTAAACTCAGATGGGATGTCTTTGTGGAATATGATCCTGATTTTTACAAACAAATCTGTTGTTCTTCTTAGAAAGGGACATTTTTGGGAGTGTGTATTTAGTTTTGTAGAACATGCAGCGCTTTGTCAGTATAAAATCCTCAAATTCTTAAGTAGTTTAGGATTTTACAGTTACAGGAAAATGAAAGATAATTGTGGATAATAATTAAAGCTTATATAAAGCTCGTCTGTGATTTACAAAGTTGTTATGGTGAAGATAAATTGAGATCATTCAAAATAAATAGCAATTAAGAATTGCCTTTATGTTATTACTGATTCAGAGAGCAGGAGGTTAGGGACATATTTTGTGGACAGAAATATTCTGTTATCCTTCTTAGCATTCTACAGCAAAATGCAGTTTCAAACATAGGGTATGAGTTAATGTTGAAAATGTAATTGAAACAAAAACAACAAAATGATATTGGCAACATGATTGCTCTGGTTATTTATTTTACCACTTTTTCCTTTTTGCTTTCCTTTCCCCTGATTCCTATTAAAATACTGCATAGGATGCTTTCCAATCTAATAATGTGTGATAGACTATTGATGTGACTGATTTTGCCTGACTGGCTTGAGGTGTAGATGAGAAATAGCTTTTTTTAGTGTTTGGAAGCAAGATTTTTCTTACATTTCAGAGCTTAGAACTTCTGCAAGATGACATTCTGCTAAGCATATCTTTATTTAAATGAAGTACATCCTGAGCCAATGTGGTGATGTAAATTTGAGATACCTCAAATACAGTTTAAGCAGTTGTAGACAAATGTATACACTTTTGAAAAATCCATCTTAGATTAAACAATCATTCAGCTGTCAGAACCTCTAATGAAATTCTGCCATGAATTATCCTGGTGTTTTCAGTGGCACTAAGTAAAAAAAAAAATAATTTTTTTTTCATTCCTATCTATCTGTCCAGCTACATTTACTCAGTGTGATACATCCCAAATGTGTTATCAGGTATGACAGAGGCTCTCAGAAACTTCTTGATCTTCTTTTGCCTGCCTTTCCCTCTCAAACTGCAATCATAATGATTTAAAGAGTGAGATTTCATTTTAGATGGCTTGTTTCTGTAACAGGTGCTGGTGGGGAGTTCACAAATGGAGTCAGAGCTGCTGTAAGGTGAACACCATGGTTTTAATCTCTATTATCTGCAGCAGAGTTTGACTTGGGTGGTTAATGTTGAAGGCTTTAAAATCTTTAGCCTGGGAAAGAAAAAAAGGTTTCAGTTTCACCTGAAAACAAAAAAACTGATCAGGATTAATGAATGTCTCAGAGCAGCATTTGGAAATAAGTATATGATTCTGACTTTATCTCTTTATTATTTGGTATTCTTATGCTGAGAAAAGAAGAGCAATTTAGGTAGTTGTGTATTTTACAAACTGTCAAGTAAACAGGCTGTAAATCAGTAACTCTACAGCCTGGAAGGCCTTCAGCATTGTCTTGTTAATGGAAACATCATGTGATTTTATAGATTGTTCTACATCAAGTCCTTCTTCTGGGACAAGTTTAGGACAATTTCTTTATTAAGTTTAGAATAATATATTGATGCCTTGGAAATCTTCACAGGGAAGGAGGTGCCATTTTCCCTGTGCCCTATCCAGACCTCACTGTGTATAAATAATTTCTCCTAATCCCAGTACTAAACTGGAAATCAATATGTTACCTCTTTTTAAAGGATGAGGAGAAGGTTCATTTGGTTCTAAAGAAAGGGACAGAACAAAGATCTGTGTGGTATGAACTCGAGACACTCATGAATTTTCAGATGTATTTTAAAATTATTTCCAACAGTTTAAAGTCTAGTTTGTATTGTTCATGAAAAATAAATTAAATTCTGTCAGAGAATGCCAAAGTAAACACAATGGATAGTCTGCAGATTCCCACACTTAAGAAGAATGACACAATATTTTTTTCTTATGTGCTTTTATTGACCTGATAAGCAAAATATTATGAAAGGAAAGATTTGAATTTCTGTGAAAAATAGATTAAACAGCAATATGAGGTTAATTTACTGTTCCTGCTAATATTCAAATGTTGTATATTCATTTAAAAGTGCAATTAGCTCTCCTGGGAGTTTGCTTGCAGCTGTGGGATTTAACTAAAAATAATAATTTTCTTGTTAGCATGCAATAAATTCTGAGAAGATTTAGTTTTGGTGTAGTAAGCACAAAGAAAGAAGAGAACAGTTTTCCACAATGCCTTTCATTATATAAACTGTTTGCAACTTTTCCTTTGACTCACTGCTCACAAGGCTAAGCATCTTTTTATAAATTACACTTGAGTGTAGGTTGCAGTTAATTAGTGAGCTTTGCATAGCAATGTTATTCCTTGTTAGCTCAAAGTATTCTCTGAGGGCTCTGTGTTTCTGTGGTTTTATAATGTGTGTGATTGTGGTAAAGTTGACATCTACTCTTGGTTTCTGAATTACTCCCTATAGAACAGTTTCTACCAGTCCCACTTTCCTACAGTGGTTTTAGAAATCTAATAGATTATTTTAGCACATTGTCTCTATTTTGCAGTTGTTGCATTGACTGTCCATTAGCTCACCTCTAGTTTAGCTGTCTTCTTGCATTCAGGATTAGGGGAGCTCAACTCACTTTGGATGCCCAAGAATGCAAATTTCCTCTTAAAATTGTCATCTATAAAGAAGAAATTCCAAGAAGAAACCAAAATCCCACTGGAATACTAGCTATAATCTCTGTAGATAGAAATTGGGAAAGTTGTATTTTTTTCACTTTGCCAGATTGTACAATTTTTTTTAACCACTTGGACTACAGAAAAGTTTAAAAAGAGTAGAACTGGTGGTTCTCATGACATAATGCATGACTCCTACTATTAATTGCATCCAGATAGTATCATATGTGTCTGATAGGTCCAGAGACACTTAAAACTCATAAATCTTGCTTCTACTGCTTAAAATGTGCCAGTCACTGGGTAAATATTTACAAAATATGGAATGTGCTTGTATCTGGTATAGTCAGAATTGATGCAGTTAAGGAATGGAAAACCCAGCATTGTGTCTGCATAGAACGCATTGCTTCTCTTCACAGAGCTGCTGTTTTCAGGAAACAGGTTTTTTGTTCAGAATGGTGCAGAAGAGAGTCAAATTAACTGCAAACCTTTCTCCAAATTGTGAATGTGGAGATAAGGGCACTGAGAAACTGCAGTATTATCAAAGTTTAATTGTATGTTTCATCCTAGAGCAACAAATCAAGGAGTTAAAACAATTCCTGAGAAGTTTGTTGAATTTTGTTTATAAGGTGTTTTGATGCACTCAATAGAAAACGAGACATTAGTGTATTATAAGCTTTCAGGACAAGTTGAGATCCAAAATAAAAATCATTTAAATAAAGGTGGAGATAGATTTTTGAATGAGATATATACTTCCTCAGTAATTTGCATAATTAAGAAGCCGGGGAGATTTTTGGGCCTCAGTGGTAATTGGCTATTCAGTAAAGGTAGTCTTGCTCACTTCACTCATCTGCAAATTATTCAGCCCTCATTAGCTTAGTGCTGATTCAGCAGTAGTACCTGAAAAAATGTGTCATGAGTAGAAATGATCCCTTTCACTTTAGATATCAAAGCAATTTAATCTGATTTAATTTCTCTGAGTAAACAGTGGATTTAACACCAACTATCAGCTTTCCAGTTAAGGTTACACAATTTTCTTTTCTAACATAGTTCCATAATTACTATTTAAAAAGCAAATTAAAATTTCCTCATTCAGAATAAAAGAAGAGCATATTTTTGAAGTTATTAGTGATCAGTGTTTTATAGATTCCTGTTTTGGCTAAAGTTTGGCCTTATGTTCAGCTTAGAACTTAGGCTTTAGATGAGACTACAGAATGATCTGTTGGTATGCATTGTATGATCACAATTTTGTTCCTCTTGTCAGATGAAAATAAAGCCTTACCCAGCAGTTTTTCTCAGAATTTAATAATTCTGAAATATTTCCTAACTTAAAGGTTGATCTCTCATTTAAAAAAGGTTTTCTGGCAACTTATTTTCGTTGTTATGAAAGATGGTTCTGTGAAAACAGGTAAACCTCTTGACTAGCTATATTTCAAACACAAAGTTTCTAAGATGGGCTGTGGATTCTGAAAAATAGCCTAGAATGATGTGGATGAGAGGACAAACATATTCTAGGGATGATTCCAAATTTTAAATAGTGTAGTGGGATAAAACTATACAATATTTTTTAATATATATTTGATTATGTTATCCATTGCAACATTAGTAAGGCTCATAACAAATTTTCCCCAAATGGATGTGAGCACCTGCTGTGTATTGCATTGCTTTGGTTTTGGGTTTATTTTAAATTTTTTTTTTTTTAAACTGATTTTTAAACTTTCCTAGGATGCTCTTATGTGAGCTTGTTGAATTGTTGTTGATGTTGTTTTAAAATGAATTGTACACAATGTATCAAGGGAGTTTTTATAGATTTGCATATATAGGAAGAAAGAACAAGTCTTCAGAGCTCTCTGAGGAGTAATGTTCTTCCCACTTGTATGTTGAGTAAAGGTCACCTGAACTTCCAATAAATGAGATGATTTACACTGTATTTTTCACTCATCTGGTTTGTTAAAAAAGTTTTTCAAGAGGCCTGGGAGCTAGAATCTTGAATCAGCAAGTTCTGGTTCCAGAGAACTGGCAGTCTCATTTCCCTCCTGTCTGATCCTCTTCAGAAGCATCTTTGGCCAGATATTCAAAGTAAAGGAATCAGTTTTCTACATTAATTTTGCATTAAATGGAACAACCATAGAGTTCAAATGAAGGATGTTCAAGTCCCATTATTTCTTAAGTCTGAAGAAGAAACTGGATTGCATTTTCAGCTCACACATTTGAAGTACCTCTGTTGCTTCAAATACTTTGAGATTCCCAGCTATTCTGACTAAACCTTTCATCACTTTGAGAGATAATTTATACTAGATTGATGCCTTTTTTTTGTTTTGCTTTTTTTTAAAGAAATTAATTTCATAGCCACAGAGCCCTGGTGGCTGCAGATGTCTCATGTGGAATTTCCTGAATGCGCTTGTTGTGATTTGCTTTTTCCTGTTGGCTTCTGTGCAGTGCAGCAGCAATCGTTTTTGGTGATAAACTTTGATGATATCCACACACACCCTCTGCTATTGCCAGCAGTCTTCACCTGTGGCCCATCACATGATGGAATTGATGCCACATAATTGAATATGCATGTTAAGCACATCATTGGAGCATTTGGGAGGCCTCACTCGGATAATCTGTGCTTGGCATCCTAACAGCATGGCCAGTGAGGCTTGAGTGGGCCTGCAAGGTCACTGCTTCGATGGTGTGACCTTGATAATGTGCTCATCAGCATTTGGGTCTGTATTTTGATGGCTTGTCCTAGCAAAGAGCCAGAGATGGTACATATGGAATTTGAGATGCCTGACATGATGACTATAAGCTGTCCAGATAGTCCAGCTATTAAGAATGATTATGACTGGGATATGTGTTGCTTTTGCTGGAAGCCTTTCGTTTCAGGGATGCTGCTTTTATCTCCTCTGGCTGCTTTGGCTTTCATGATTCTCTCCGGGACTTCGTCATCATTAAAGGGGTTCCAAGACAGTCTCCTACTCAAATGGAAGAATTTATTTCCAAATATCACTGCTGCACTCTCAGTTTTCATTATTGGCTCACATACTTTTTCACCATAGCTGGAATAGGATCCCTGTTTTTATATACTGATGCTGAGGCCAAATTATTTGGCAGTGCAATTGAAACAGTCGGTAATACGTTAAAGATTTTCTTGGCTGGAATCCCTGAATCCCAAATTAGGCATGTAGGGATGGTTTATGTGTGTGTTTGTCAGCAGTTTATCCTGCCTAAGCCCCTGACATTATTCTCTATGTGCTTGGTGTGCACACTTAGCATCTACAGGGAGCTGTGTAGGTATCTAAGATTTTCTGGTCCATGTGGACCACATACACAAACAGGAATCTAGTCAACTAAATGACAAATAAAACAACAGATGTATTATCTACCATTTTCCAGATGCCCAAGTTCCACTTTTACTGCTTGTATCATGTTCTTTCTGGTATCCAGAACATGAGTCCTCACAGACACCTGGAAAGTTTCTCACCTGGGGTAGCAGTGGAGTTAGCAAGTAAATACAGAAGTAAAACACAAAGTAGGCAGTGGTAATTTTGCTGAATGTTCTTGTTGCTGTTCAAGAGTCTCCCAGAACACATCACTGCTTGTGGAATGGAACATTTCTTAGTTATTTTCTGGTTTATTTAAGATTGCTCTTGTGTCCCTAAGTGTTAGTAGGTAAAGCAATTTTTGTTTGATCATGATCTTAACTGAGAGTACAGAAGCAGAAGAGAGCATAGGGAGTACATTTTAGAGAGGTTAGGAATACTGATTATCTACCTACTGATTCTTTGAAAAGGTATTTACCACTGGTATTTTCGAAACAAAATTAATAATCCTTCATATTTCAATTTGCTCTAACAAGGGGAAAAAAGAAGGAATTCTCTGTGTGTAGAATTAAGAGTACTGGAAGATTTTCTTTTCAGCTGTGGGTTAAACCTGAGTGGCCAGAGAAAATATGAGATCAAAGGTGAAAGATCAGTGATAGAGAATGGCAGTAATTCTTGGTTCACTTGTGGAATACATAGATCTTTAACCATGGCAGGTTCCCTTTAGGTGCATTACAGTATTCTACTTACCTTGTAAATAGCCTTTACTTACCTTGTAAATGAAATCAGTTGTGAACCTAATTCACAATCAGCTCAATATCTCTACTTTGGAGCTGACAATCCTCTGCCTGGGCAGGGAGCTGGGTTTGGTATTCTGGCATCCACCTGCCACCATGTACCTGTCACAGCTCCATTGTCTGTGTATCTCTCTTCTGTGTGTTTAAACTGGGCTTAATGAAAACTGCCTGCACAGAGATTACATGAGGAAACGTATTTGGTTTGAGTGTCTTTAGGTTTTTACACTAATGGTGGCAAGTAGGGCATGTAATTTATCCTGGAACAAGTGCCTTTTTTCCTTAAAATCTGCTTTTTCACTTGGGAAGTGTGTAAAGGTGGAATGATAAAAATCAATAGAATTTGTGATGTAGTTTTACTGATACATCCTAAATATGTTTTCAAAATTTGTGCTTTTAGTTTTTTATTGGCTATGTTTTATAAATTATAATTCAATAATGAAAGTATATTCAATGTGTATTTAACATCATTGGAAATGTAAATGTGCCACTTTTATCTCTGTCTTTGAATTGCCTAAAGTTGATTGGTATCAGCACTATGGACTTTAGAGGATGGAATACTTATCCTTCTTTTTCCTGAACTTTGACTTCTCTGAATTGCTGTTAATTTTCATGTATTTCATTATCCACAGTGGCCTAGCAATTAGTAATGATACAGTAGCCACTGGGAAAAAAACCGAACAATTTCATTATGACCTGTATCCAGTAATAGAAATCAGAATTGTCTTTGAACAGAATGCAGATTTTTAGTGGAAGAGAAGCATATAGGGAGTGGAGTTTGTGTTGGGGTTTTTGGAGATGTTCAGCAAGATAGAACAATTAATATAAAAACTGTATGGACAGTGATTGAGGAGATGATAAAGTGAGATAAGAACATGCTGAATTCTGAAAATGTGAAGTTGCTGCTGAGCTATTTTTTTTGAAACGTTTTATGAGGACAAAAAGCATTTGAAACGATTCTCTGCCATTTGTTTCATTTCCATCCATAGAAAATTTCACCCTGGGTGGGTTTGCGCAAGATCAACATCTCCTACTGGGGCTGGGATGACATGTCCCCTTTCACAAACACCACCCTGCAGTGGCTCCCTGGAGAGCCCAACGACTCTGGCTTCTGTGCCTACCTGGAGAGAGCAGAGGTGGCAGGGCTGAAGGCAAATCCCTGCACTGCCATGGCAGACGGCCTCGTGTGTGAAAAACCCGTCGGTAAGGAGCCTCTTACTCCCAGGAACTGATGCTGCACTAAATAACAAGCTCTTTGGGCTTTCATTTGCCTAAGAGGGGTTTGGGGACAATTTGGATTAAATAATTACAAAAAGAGATTTTTTTTTTAGTTTTTTTTGAAATGGCTGTAATATATTAATATTCCTAACGCAGAAAATATTTTATTTCAGAATAAGTTCACATGGCTTATTTTGCATTACACCAGAAATCTTATAGTTTGCCTCTAAATCAATAATAGTCAATGGTAACAGTAGCTGTAACCACATGTGGAGATATTCAGCAATGCAGTGTGTTCTTTCTGATTGTTGCTGAACATTAGTGAATATCTTAAAGTTGTAAAAGACTGACAAGTCCAAAATTCTGGTTTCTGTCTTTTAGGTTCATTTGTGTATAAAGTTTACTGTGGCAAATAGTCACTTGACTTTTCAAGTTAACATACATTAAAATAGATTCTGTGAGCTGTCATATGAGTCATGCTCAGTTTTGCATATTAGATTTTGTAAAATATATACAGAAACATAACTTTGGATCAAAATATTTACAGCTAATTAAGGAAGCAAACGCTTCAACATGGATTTTTCTAATGGAACAAATGGTGAAAGGAAAAAGAGATTGAACTTGTGTTCAAAATGATAAAATATTTGTGATCCTTTTCCAGTCAGTCCCAACCAGAATGCCAGGCCCTGCAAAAAGCCGTGCTCCCTGAGGACAACCTGTTCCAACTGCACCAGCAATGGCATGGAATGTATGTGGTGCAGCAGCACCAAACGATGTGTGGACTCCAATGCCTACATCATCTCCTTCCCATATGGGCAGTGTCTGGAGTGGCAAACTGCCACCTGCTCCCGTGAGTATCTCAGTGAATGTTCATCTCACTAAATGTGTTGTTGGATTTATTTATCACTCAGAAGAGCTGGAGGGATTCAGCATATTCACTAGCGATGAAAAGATTTTCAAGTGAATGACCTTATATAGCTACTAAAATGAGAAGTCAGTGCTGAGTATGCATTTCTTAGACAGATAAAATGCTGGCAGTTCTTTGATTATGAAATGTATTTAGTCTTTTGAAACCATGAAAAGTATATATTCCTTTCAGATAAAGAAATATTACCGTGATTGTTTGTATGAGCAGTGTTATTGTGAGAAACAGTTGCCATGAGCTGGAACAAGATACTGTTAAAATTAGATAACCAATATGTAGAAATTAGACTTACACAATATCAAGTTATTAAGAAAAGGATGTGTGCTGATTTTTTAAAGGTTTCAATGTTCTGATTTATCTTTTTCAGATTGAGGCTATGCCATTTTCCTGACATGGAAAGATAAACACAAAGTTTTAATGATGATAGTAGTAGTCTTGAGAATACTGTAGCACAAATGCAAAACAAATGATCTTAGATTCTTCTCCCATGCAGATGGGGATTGTTAACCCTTGATCCCTAATAATTAAATCTTGCAGATTGTTCATCCTCTCTGTGGAAGTAGAAGGAATGCTATTAGGCCATCAGGCAGGGAGAGGAGGTACAGAAAACTTCTGTCCTGTGTGATCAGACTGGGTCAGGCTGCATTAATGTTCAAGGTTCCCATTTCATCCTTTGACAACAAGAGGCAAGTGATTTCTTTGTCAAGGAACAAAGTTACTCCCTGCAAGTCCCCTTTGGAAGTGCATTTCTCAGAGCTTGATGCAAGGTCTCTTCAGGAGAAGGAGCAATCTCCTCCAAGTACTTTTCAGTGTATATCAGGCACAGCTGCTCCTTCCCGAGCTGAGAGTGACCGGAGTCAGCCCCGTGCAGTTCCAGCAGTTCCAGGGTTTATTGGTGCCATAACTGATGTAGATGCTGGAGTGATCTGCCTTAGATTATTGTCTTAGTTGAGGTTTATTTAGGGCAGTTCCTCAGTCACTATCGTTCAGAAGACTGGTTCTTAGAATTTTTCAGGATTTCTGAAGTGTACTTTTGGACTCCCCTTATTGCCCTACTCTGAGAGGGTTTTTCTGGTTACTTTTGATTTCCTTTCTCTCTCCATAAGGGTCTTTTGATATCAAAGCCTCTGGAATCTTGTATTTGTGGATATCTTGTGACAGGATTAATGATCTTGACAACAACCAGCAACTTGCTTTCAGGATCATAATTAGATCATGATTCCATTTGATAGGCTAGGGATACAAATTAAAAAAAAACCCAAAGAACACAAAAGGCTTTCATCTAAGCCTCAGGAAAATACTAAGTAAAACAAGTTCTTGATGTATCTGAAAAGGAACCATTGATAAATTATAATCTCAAGAGAGAAAAAGAGAGCTGTAGGTAGCAGGCCACTGCATATCTTGGTTAAAGGGAAATAAGGCATAGGAAAACTTTTCCTTCAGGCTAAATTGGCTAAGAGCTCATATTCCTCTTATTGAGGTTCCTTCTTCATCCTTAATAATCATAGAATGTAATGAATCAGGACCATGTTGAACTTTTCTGGTAAACTTTTTGGCTAAATTAGTAAATTTCAGGTATTAATCCAGGTTCTAGTGCCCAGGTTCAGTGTAATAGGTAATAGGAACACTTAATCTCTTGTCACTGCTTGGAATAATAATTCCGTAGTTATATAAAGGTTTCTCTCTCATAACCATTCACAGAACTTTTTTTTTCCCTCTCCTGTATAGGAATCAATTTTGTAAGTTATAAAATATTGATAGTGAGTTGTGGAAGAACATAAATAGATTGAAAATCTGGAGATAAAATTGACAGAATACCACATAAATGATGTTTACATTTTTGAACTAGCAGATATTATGTCAGCCTGAACTTTCAATTCAGTTTTTCTCTTTGTGTAGTGTTTGCACATCCAGTGATTCAATTTGTTTGGGAAACATAAGAAATTGTTTTTAATTTGATTGTCATTTTTGTCAGGTCTGTAAAAGTTTATATTAAATAAGGCAAAAGAGATTTGCAATATACCAGTTCAACATTATGTAAAGGCAATTTTGTATGAAAATGTTCTTTCTATTCAACAAATTAGAAAAAAAAAGAGATTCTGTAGCTGTAAGCAGTTTTTCCAGTTTTACAGCATCAGATATTTTGCATTTAAACAAGAAAATACATGTCCAAATGAAGCATGGTTCAGATATTATTTTAGTCTAAATGACTTGAAAATTTTATTAGGTAGATATATCATTATTGCTGCTGAAGTAATGAATTATTAAGTGGATTCCCTTATCAAGGGATAGTGTTTCTACTTGAAGAACAGACTGGAACTATACCTTTAAAAAATCCTCCTTGTTTTTAAAAAATTATTTTTTATTTTGAATGAGTAATTTCTGAGCATTTGGATGTTTTGCTCTGAACAAAAAAAAGAAATTCAGACAAGTACGTATGATTTAAAACACAAAAAAACTCCTGAGAACTTCACATTTATTTTCATAACTTGGAATTAAAAATGAGGAATGCTGTTTTATTGGTGACATATTGTCATTTTAATACCTACTTGCCAAAAACTTGCATTTCTACTCTTTCCTACATCTTCTATCCTTTATGACTTTTGATTGAATAGCTGACAGTTGAACAATCTTGGGCCACTTCTAGAGTTTCAAAAAAAACAAAATTGCTGCTTGAATATCCCCTTCTTCCATCAACAATTGCTTCTCAGCTCTCTTCAGTTTTTCAACTGAATGCCACTACAGATAATAGCTGAGGATTTTCACTTTTGGTCCTGTTTTAGCCTCTGTAAAGATAGTGCAGCTGATACTTCAGGGCTTTATAAATAGCAGCATGAGTATAAATAGCAGCAGGAGATTTGTGTGGATTGTTTAGAGAGCATCTCTGAAAGGGCAAGCCAGCCAGTGCAGAATGATGGTCTGAATTTTTCTGCTGATCTTCTAACATATTCAGGAGCCCAAATTTGTATCATTCAGCTTCAGCTCTGTGGTTTTAAGACTTTTCACGTTTGACAATTTGCAACAACAGTTGGCCTTTTTCCATCCCTGTTTCTTTCCATATTTGGGAAACTTGAAACATTTCCTCCTGTTTGGATTCTTCCAATTCTATAGAAGAGCTCTTGCTTCAGCTTTCTGTGCTGTTAAAATCCTTTTGACTCGCTCAGACTCTTCACTACCTGTTTTCCTGACATCTGCAGGGAGTTTTAGACTGTGCAGTATTTTTTCTTTTTACAGCTTTCATTACTTTTAAACAATTTTAATAGCTGCTGAAGTCAGAGGAGCTAGCTTTATTCTACTCTCAGTTAATTTAGTTAGCAGTGAAATCATTCTGCTTTGTGTTTCTTTTGTGGACCAGAGGATCCCAGGTGACTGTGAGCATTGTTAGGATGCAGTGTCCTGGCTGCAGCTGAGCCAAATTGAGAGGTTACCCTCATGTAGAAGCCATTTGAGTGTCCTTCAGAATAACTCTATGAATCTTTAAATTTCTTATTTTTCAAAAGAAACTTAGCTAATTCTGGCTTCACAGCAGGGGCTTACCTTCATGTGTGCTTTTAAAATTTGATTTAGAAAGCCTATAAAGTTAATGTGAGGAGAGACAGGGACCCACAGTGATCAATGTTTGAATGAGCCTGACGTTAATTTGATCCAGTGTTACAACAGTAATTAAAAAACCTAAGATGTATCAAAAAAATCTTAAAGAACTTGGGAACTTTAATGGTGTTCTTGAAGTTACTAAAATGTTAATTTCTTATTAATAAAAAATGACAGTAACTTCAGAATAGGAATTTTATTTGGTTCTAAACAGATTTGAAATATGAGGAAGACTGTTTAATGATTTTAAAGAGTATAAAAGATCTAAAGGGAGACTTGTATTTTAGAATCCAAATTAAAAAATGAAACCTGATTAACTGATGAGAACCTTAAGATATATAGTTAATTTAAATGGGTCTGAATTATGACTTGTGGCTTGATGTGTGGTTTGCTAGCTTGTTTCAAAAGCTGTATGTTAGAAGACTAAGTCATATTCGTAGGCGAATACTCAGGTGACATCTAGGGTTGCTTTGTGCCCAAAATAATTTTTGGTTTGAATTTGAATGATCCTGTGGTTTTTTATAGATATTATCACTCTTACTTGGTTTATTGACCTTGTATTGAACTCTAGTTTTCCTGTTGGAAGGGGTGTTTATCTCAGTGAAGTTAGTAATAAGTGCATTCTATGCTAAGAATAAGTAAAGAATATCTATTGTGTGTCTAATGAAGATGTGCAATATTCTTGTTTTGCTACATTATCTTTGGTGATTTTAGTTTCTACTGTGGTGTAACAACCACCTGCTGTGTGTTTTGTGATCTTCAAGGAAGTCCAGCTTTTAATGAAAACTTGAGGTAGTATTACCAGTATTACTGATTTTTTTGTTTTTTAATTTGCACGAGGAAAAAGAAATGCTCCATCTCCTACTGTAAAATCTAAACATCTTACTTAAAAAACAATTAATTTATATTGTATTCCATTTACTAAAGCTCAAAACTGTTCTGGGCTGAGGACCTGTGGGCAGTGTTTGGAACAGCCAGGGTGTGGATGGTGCAACGATCCCAGTAACACTGGCAAAGGACAGTGCTTGGAAGGCTCCTCAAGAGGCCCAATGAAGCCTGTCAGTGTCCACTCCAATGAAATGGTGCTTGATGCTACTCTTTGCCCAAAAGAAAAAAATTATGAGTGGTCTTTTATCCAGTGTCCAGGTAAGGTTTGCTTCCGTTCTTTCTTATATATGAAAAAAGATTTTAAGCACATCAAAATAACATAATTATTCTAAGTAATGCAAATAATATTTTCAAGAAAAACTTCTCTTTTACAAAATATTTCCTAAATGTAGAGTTTGTCCACTGAACACAAGTGTAGGTTGACATGTGAAATGCAATGCAAGTAGTTTAGCCAAAATTGTAGTTTATTTGTAGGTAAGTTTTTATCTACCGTATCTCTCTACATTTAGAAATCAAAGTATATGAATTTTCTTCAGCTCTTGCTTTCTTCTACCTTCTGTACCCATCAAAGAGTGGAACTGGGGAGAAATTATCCACAGAAGACTGATGGACACAAAACTTCCTCCTGCGCTTGCCAAGTCCAGCTGAATTTCAGAATGGGGGGCTGCCAAAACCTGAGCTGTGCTTCCAGCTGACCTTTTAGACACTCAGAGGGAATAGAAAATGTGCTTGTGTAGCCTTAAAGAGAATCTCTGCAGTGTCAATTTAAGCCACACCAGTCTGATTATAGTATTTTAATTTTTGAGTTCATTGCAGAGTAAGGAAGCTATCAGGTGCTGTAAGACAGTGAAAGCTGTGCTGGTGCAGCCTCCTGAGTGCAAATCCTCCAACTCTGACAGCAGTGAGGAAGCAGCACTGGAGGACTGCAGGCAAATGAAAAGTATGCTGGGGACTTTGACAGCCCTCCAGAAGTCATTTACAATCAATAATAAAGCTTGAAAGACAGCTTGAAAACTTTGGTGGGTTTTGGATTGTTTTGTTTGGTTTTTTTAAGAATAAATAGTGTAATTGTGCTAAAGTTACTTTCCCAGGAAATGTTCTACTGCTGATAATTTTGGAAGCTGGAGCTTCTGTAGGATCAATACTTTTATGGGTACATGCAGCTGTGTTTGCTTACGTCTTCTTTCTTTGTCAGTTTATTTTCTGTCTTGTCTATGCATATATATAGAGGGGGTTTTTAAAGTTTTAGAATAATGAAATGAAATATAAATCCCAGTGAACAGTGTTGCATATTTTCGGTTATAACCAAAGAAACTTTCAACATCATCTAATACTACTTCCTGAACAAAGAAGCTTTTAGTACGTTTCTGGAAACAATAGAATGACATTTCATTGTACAGAAATTTCGTTACTTAGTCTATATATTGATAAGTGGATTTTTAACCTTTCAGTGCAATGCATAATTTCTGCCACCAGTGAAATTGTAATAGATAAATATATTGCTTGTCTAAACTGCTGTTTTTAATATTTATTCTTGATGGATAAAATTCTGTATTCATTTTATGTTCTTACCAAGAATTTACTGAAGTTCAACTTCAGTTTAACATTCCCTATACTTTATGAGTCTGAGAACAAATACTACAGAAGTCATAGAATTAAAATTTCAATTGATGTGAAATTTCTTTTTGATCTGTTTTGGGTGGAGGTTTTGTTCCTACGATTTTGTTTCCATTCCATAGAATATTTTCTGTAATGAATTCTATTAAGAGTTTATTCTTAGCACAACAATCATTTGATGTCCTTGAAACAAGATAGAATTAGACTAAGTCTATGTGAGCCTACTGAACAGTTTTCAGTTAGGATAAAAATATAAATAGATAGTTTATACCATGAAGTTGGAGATTATTCTGCCACATTGATGCATAGTTGGCTGAACCATTCATCTTTATTCAGGCATACACTTATTTTTCCTTGTAGTCCATATCCATCCTCCTTGTAGTGCCTCTGGGAAATAGTGCTGCTGATAAAAATTTAAAATTCTTTCTCATTTTCTGTTTGCTCAAAACTTTAAGATTAGTATTCATCAGGCAGTATAGAAAATGTTTATTTTTGTTACTGGTCACTTTGAAATCAATAGGTTTCAAATAAGCTGTCATAGTATTTATTTTGATTGGAATACAATTTTATTTTCATCAGATTCTTTGTTTAACTGAACTGTTGTTATAAATAAAATTGCAAATAACATATATATAAAAAGAAAAGAAAAAATAGCTTTGACATTCATCTCATGAAAATAAAGGTTTAGGTAGAATGCAAGCCCAAGTTTTTCTTTAAAGTGTAAATTTCTCCTCTGAAAAGCAATGTGAGTAGATTCTAACTAGTTTGTTTAAAACTAGATGAAGTATTTTGTACTAGATCCAGATTGTAATGAAGGCACCCTTTTCATAAATTTTCCTAGTTTTAACTATTTTCTTAAAACTGTAATTTCCAACAATTGTCAATGTCATCAGCTATTTCAACACAGAGGTCAAAAGCAAATTAATCATAAAATTGCATCTCTCCAGGGCAGCCTCACTGAGGATGCAGCTGAAATACTTTTTTGTGTGTGAGGAAAATGACTTTGTTGCTGCCAGTGATCTACATTAAAAAGACTTAAGGAAAAGAGAATTTTTATACATTTAACTCCTAATTCTTACTTAATGGTCATTACTGTGTCTCATTAATTTAACGACTTCTTAAATTATTTAATACTGATGTCTCCAGTTGGATTGCACTGAACCAACTTTGAGATTTATTGCACTTGCACTTCTGACTTTTTTCAATGAGATGCATATTTTTAGGGAAATCAGCAATTAAATAATGTAATTTTTCTATGGTGTGTCATGTCAATGGTGGATTGTATTATTTCTTACTGTATATATATTTTAATTTGTTTTAAAATCTCTTCCATTTACTTTGCCTCAACAAAATGTAAGAATTCAGAGCTGTCATTTATGACCAGATAATATGACTTGCAGAAAACTAAAATTTAAAATTAAGGTCGCTTTCATCATCCTATATAACACAAAAATTCACAAATACAAAACTAAGCATTAGTAAGAATAGAAAATTTATAAATCAATGGCCCATCAGTTAGATAATATTAATATTAAGCAATTGCCCTACACTATGTTATAGTCTTAATTATGCAATCTTACTTTAATAGAACACCTCTTTAATGTACTCTCTGTTTTTACTTTTGGCTTAGTAGACTGTATTCTTTTTTACATTTGCTTTAAGTAATTTAATGTGTAAAACATGTACACAAACCCCAAAATGGAGCTGCAACTCATGGTACTTTTGTGGAGCTTTGCCTGAGAATGGCAACAAACTGCAAAAGAGGGAGATCCCACACAGGTGTCTAAAAATCAAATATTCTTGGGGAAAAGTAAGGCTTTTGATTTCTAGAGATTTAGTCAAGATAGTGAGGAAACCTAATGGTACAGAAATGTTTAATACTTGTTTGGAAGATTCTCTAGGCTTAGTTACAGAAGAAAGAAGAGATTGTCAACTTGGGAGGTTTTAATGGTTTATGAGCCATGTATGGCAATGGCTATAAATTTATTAAGTTACTAAATTATAAAACGGCTCTAAAAAGTTTTAAATCATGCAATGAGAATCCCTTTTCCCCTAGCCAAGACACCAATCACTGTGACATTTAAATTTAAAAATCCAAATTTTGTAAAAAATCCAATTTTACTGTGATGGCTGTCTTCTTCCCAGTCTTCCACCGACCTTGGCACTGAGGAATTGACAGGTCTGACATGGTTTGACATTTGACAAGCTGCTGTAATTGACAGATTACTAATCTGCTGGGCACCATGAGCTCTGAAGCTCCACTCTATAGAGAGGTCATCCTTCAAAACCTGGCAGCAGGATCAATTATTCTGGGAAGATTAACATTGTGATTTTGCTTCAGGAGTGGTCAGTGCTTTCTGAGTTTTCCCAAAATATGAAGCTCTGGAGTGGAGCTCTGCTGCAAGATCAGTGGTTTATAGTGGTGTTATTTGACAAAAAGCAATTTTATGGTCTCAAGTTAAGGTGTGAAAAAATTATGTCCATAGGTATCCAATTTTTTTCTTAACTTTTACCAAAATTGACTGTAGTGAGGAGGGACTGGAGCTGTTTAATGTGGTCCTGATGTGCTTAAAATTGCTTTGTATACCAAAGCTAATGAGGGTCAGGGCAATTAAAAATTAGATAATATTTAGTTAATTTATTTTGGAAGTTATCTCTCCCCACTAGGTATGTTTAGCTGTGAGTTCATGCTCTCCACCACAGAAAGGCTTCACATTTGCATTGTAGGTATTGGGGTTTTCGTGGAGTCCCAGTTAGTGACTTACTACCTCTTCAAAGATTTCTGAAATGCCTGGACAGCATTTTAAAGCTGTAAGAACTAATTCGATCACTCCAATGGCAAAAAAACCCAAAACCTTTCTCATAAAACCCCCCTTAAAACTTGCACCTCACAACAGAGTCAGTTTTTGTGTGAATTCTTTTTGTACTGCAATGCTGTTTTGAAGAGGTTCTGTGTCAAAATGCAAATATATTTATGCTGGTTATTAGTCAGGACTAAACTCCTCAGAATCACATTTTACTACAATTTTATATTACAGTATTTGTATGTATATAGAGATGATTTTGTTCCAAAGACCAGTTTAGTAATGAAGCTTATAAAATATTTTATTCCAGCTTGCCAGTGTAACGGCCACAGCACCTGCATCAACAGCAATGTGTGTGACCAGTGTAAAAACCTAACAACAGGAAAGCAGTGTGAAACCTGCATGCCAGGATATTATGGAGATCCCACAAATGGAGGACAGTGTACAGGTAAGTTCTTCTACCAGAAGGAAAAAGAAAAATATCAAAATGACATTTTATGTAATGTGAATTTAAATGTTTATAATGTAACGTGAAATTAACTTTTCTTTAAAAGTTAGAAGTTTATTTTATAGTAGAGATGAGCTGATCAGCTAAACTAATGATTCAAAATCAGATTAATATATTTAAAGAGAAACCCATTCAGACTCATTTTGCAATTGCTGCTCTCTCAGGAGGAGGAAGAAACTCCCTTGTTGGACCAACGACTCAAATGCAAAAATCAAACCAGGCAGCAACTGACAGAACCAGAGGACACAGTCTCAAGCTGTGCCAAGGGAAATATAGGTTGGATACTAGGAAAAGCTTTTTTACAGAAAAGGATAAAGTACTGGAATGGTCTGGCCAGGGAGGTGGTGGAGCCACCATCCCTGGATGTGTTTAAAAAGAGACTGGATGTGGCCCTCAGTGCCATGGTCTGGGTGAGGTGTTAGGGCTGGGTTGGACTCAATGGCCTCAAAGTCTCTTCCAACCCCGTGATTCTGTGAAATTATTTCAGAGAGATGTCACTAAATTCCACATAAATAATCCTGTTAGAGGCAGTTTGAAGGTACTTATACATAAGTCAGTATCTGCCAAAATGTCTGGTAACACTGATTTATAAATAAATATTATTTAGAAAGATTATAAATATGTGATGCTAGTGGAGAAATTACTCATTTAACAGACCAAAAATGTCTAACTCATGTATAGTTGAAACAAAAAGGTTTGGTATGCTGAGGGTGGCAAGGCACCCATATTTGTTCAAAGTTTATACAACAGTTTTTAAACTGCTGCACTGGAGTATTCTCCTTGAAATGAAGGACAGAATGAAGTCCAATACTCCAGATGGTTTTTGTATATTGCTGTAGGGCTGCTTTTTCACTTCCATGGGTGGTTTTAAAGTCAACAAGAACTCCTTCCCTTAAAAGTAAAGAGGAACATACTATGAAAACTCAATAAGGTTGACTTGGAATCCAGGAGGGTGCTGGAAAGTTTTTGTCCCACTTTTTCTTCTCCATTACTGATGTTTCTTTACCCAGACATTTGCTTCTCAAGGAATATTTCTTCATTTAAAAGGTTTGTTGGTTCCTCAGCACTCTAATGTGCAGTAGGCAATGCATAAAGCTTCACATCCAGTAAACTCAAGCAAGATATGTAAAAATTGTGTTCAAGGGGATAGAAAGATTAATGTCTAGCCTTATTGACAATTGAACATTTTGCTGAGGCTTTATGATGCTTTAAATAATTCTTAATGGTTCAGTTTTTTTCCTGAAGCTGACAAAATGTTCTTTTGCTGTCTGTATCACCTTTATGGCAAAATGATGTATTCATACAGCTTTTATTCTTCAGGGATACATTAGCTATCAGCCAAATAAGCATTCCATCACCTTTTGTGAAATATGTGTGGTGCAATAATGGCTGAAATCAATTTATAAGACCAGTAAAATTATAAATTTTACAACTTGTTTTTTCAAACCTAGACTGTAAGAATGCATATTTTTATTGGTAGGCATGATTTTAACAGGAGATATTTTGACAAGAGAATGCTTTAAAAAATAAAAATGGTAATTATTTCAAGGCTTTATCTGCTATGGTATGTTGTATTTTTTGTATAGAGCCCATAATAAATATGTTTACATCCTTGGGGTATTTTGAAGGATGTAGTCACTATGAACTGTTGGATTTTCTACAATACCATGATTACTGTGATAGAGGTGCCCAAACTGTGGACCAGGGATCTCTGCAGGAAAAAGTACCAAAGATCCATAGGTAAATCTAATCAATGTTACTGGGATTTAAGAGGACTTTGGAACCATTACTGGGATCAGGCACAGTGCAAATATAAAGAAAGGAAGTAATGGTTCTGTTTCTTTTCTCCTTCATTAAGCTAATGCTATTGCTAATGCAGAAAATAATTGAAGATGGCTGGAAATTAAAACCATAATTAAAATAGAAACATACAGAGAAAAATATGAGTTGAAGAAAGGGTAACCCAGTTAGAAGCTGAACTTAAGTGTGACTGAAATAAAGAGAAAGTGAGACAGGAAATTATATGAAAAAGCCAATCAAGGGACAAAAGAATGACAAGGAGCTAAAAAAATACCCAAACCAGTCATCTGTATAGTTGCATCTTGTGTCACTTTGCTGCTGCCAGCTGAGTTTCTGCCTGGGCCCCACCAACTTTCCTTTTCCACTAAACTCAGCCTTTGGTTCCATGGCTGCCTGAACACATGCTACATTTTCCCCTTGGAGCTTCTGAGTAATTACTTTGAGGATGCAGGCTGAAAACTTTTTAAAGGCATGACAAAGTGGTGACTGTAACTCTGAAAGTACATCTGTAATACCTCCATATTCTTCATGGATCGACTTGCTGTAGTTACAGGGATGTAGCTTGGTTTTGAACTGGAGGGCAGTCAAGCTGGGGACAGAGGTTGTGCTTGATCTCTGAAGTGGAAAGGTGAAGCTGTGTGCTCTGGGACAAAAACTGCAGGTTGTTTCCCTAGCACACTCATGACATAAAATAACTTTTTCCCAGTGTCGTGACGAGAGTACTTGTGCATTCAATACACATAATTACGTTTTCTGCTGTCGTGATATATGTACTTACAGGGGAAAACTGAGCTCTTAGTTTAACTGTTAGTGATACAGGCTAAAATGATTTGCAAGAAAACCTTCCTTTTTTTTATAGTCTGCATTAGCCCTTGTTGTTCCTTAGATCCCTGATTTTGAAAGGAAGCAGGAGGACGTGCATACCAAGCCTTGTGGTCCTGGGAAAACTTTTATCTTTTTTCCTTAACTATACCAATTGTTTCCTAAATCCCTTCTGTTTATACTCCAAGGAGGTAGTTCAGAAAGCTCTAAAGAAATGACTGTCCACCACAGAGTGATCGATTCTGTTCTGACCTTTGTCTAGGGATGGCAAATTCTGTTAAAATACAATTATTTTTTTCCACTCTGGTACTAATGGTGTCTTTACAACTGTCATCAGATAGCTGATACATTTCTAGTAGTATTGCATATGTTATGCTATCAAATTACTATGGAATGAGTAATAGTTGTTATATAAAAAAGATATAATTCAGATTTCAAAAGGTTTTGAACAGTTGTGATTAAAGAATGGGTAAAAAAATTGACTTTTCTGGATTTTCACTCACTGTAATTGCTGACATTTCAATAGCTTTAAAACAGATCTAAGGACTTGCTTTGCATCCTGATATGATGCAGGCTTAGTAAATGTGACAAATCTTGCAGAAGGACAAAGAAAAGATGGAGGCATAATAACAGGCTTCAAATGCATGAAGGGAAGCTGAAAAGAGAGGGAGATGAAAAAGTGCCTTCCCCCACGCCCCCATTTTGGTTGAGGAGGAAGTAATGGGATTAGGTTGCAACAAGAAAGATTAAGGTGGAATACAAGGAAAAATTTTTACTGGTTAAACTGTGAAAGATTACCTAAATATGCTATGAAATGTGCATTATCACTTACACTATCCTTTTTAAATTTTCAAATGTCTCAGGCTTTGGAAACAGGTAGGGAACTAGCTGATTTTTCTTTAGTCCTAATATTCTGTACTGTCTTGGAGTCTGAGATCTAGAAAGCAGGGAGGTATTGAGTAAATAGAAAGTATTCTGATTATATAGGAAAAGGAGCTGTTTACAGCCATATGGATATGGATATTTACCATATTTTGGATCCTGAATGTTACTAAGATGTTACTAAGTTGTATAGTGCTTGCTTTTGAATCTGTAGCATTTTAGTTACTGTGGAGTTAGAAAGCTTTCCATGGTATGCAGGTTTCCCCTGGAGCTGAGGCTCTGGTTTATTTGTGTCAGAAGTGTGTGTGGTGTTTTGGTTGCTGATGGGCAATAGTTTGGCATTGGTCATATTTTGAAGAAATAATTACTGTTCTTTTTCTTGAAACAACCACACCTAATGCCAATAATTCATTTAAATCCTGTCACTTGAAGTGTCTTTTCAATACAGAGAATGAGAGTTAGAGTTTGTATTCTTGGTGTAAAAATGAGTTTTATGTTCAGTTGTCCTAAGATGTGGCTTGCAGTAAAGATATATGTGCTCCTTCAGTTCTTTCTGACATTTCATTGTACAAATATATAGTTTGAATTACTTTATATTTGATTCATTGCTGCATTCTGTACAAAAATCAGTAATAAATTGCAGGGGTCTTTTATGATAAGGGAAGTTCTGTGACCGTAATCTGTTAGTTATCTGTTCTTATACAAATTAAAATGGTTTCAGGTAGTCTCTGGTGTCAAAATAGTAGCCATAATAGTAAATTAAATTTATTTCTTACCTTAAATTATGAAATATTTTAAGTTGTACAAAAAGATTTGCATTCCTTCTTGGAAATAAATGGTGGTGCACAAATTAATAAGTCCAGACCCTGTACACATGCTTAAGATTTATCATCTAAACACCCAGTCTAGCAAAGAAAGCATGAAGAGAGAGTACCACTCAAGTTACCAGGTAAAGTTACAGGATCCTTTTTAAGAGTTATTTCAATGTGCAAGAGAATAAGAGGGAAGGTGGAGGTGAACTGGGAGCATGAGGGAATAGGGTGCTCCGGGAAGAGGCAGGTTTGGGTTTCCAGGTCAAGCAAATCCGTGGGCAGTCCTTGGAGTGCAAATTCAGTGCTGTCAGCCTGTGCCAGAAATATTGAAGTCACCAAACCCTGTCTTGAACACAATCAGGCACATTCTGTATTGTGGTAAAGATTAGATGAGAGAATCACAGCTCAGCCTTGTCTGTTCCTGGGATACCTGGGGAGCCTTTCAGTCTGAGGTGTTGAAGAGCTCAAAGGCAGACATTCCAAATCACTTTGATTAATTTTTTTCTAAATTTTGCTCAAGTCCTATTTAAGGGATGATTTTGAAGGCATGAAAATTAAAATTCAGTAATAGAAAATTCATTGTTGAATTGGATTTTGGAAATAAAGCAGCTTTGACTGTAGGTG